AATGCAACATGTCTGAACTGTGAGATTGAGGACGAGCAGGAAGAGAGATGCCCTGTCTGAATACGGTGCTGAAATCATTTCTCAAATGAAACTCAACATCAGTAGAGATTTTTAAAATGAGCAAAAGCTTAATAACAGCTTGAATGGTGATTTATGGTTACAGTGGACCAAAACGGATGTTTCAGGTACCTGTGTCTTGCCTTTAGAATAGCAGTAAGTAAAATATTTGAACTAATTAGTGTGAATCAAATCTCATCTGCGTGCCAGTGATTTTATAAAGAGGAAATAATACCGGAAGCCGTTCAGCTGTGTTGGTCATGGGGCTGCTCTGAGCCCTTATCACCTGATAGATTCCAGTGCCCCAAGCTGGGTTTAGTGGGCCCTAAAACGGAGGCAGCCGGAGGTGTGAGAGAGACAGGTTACCGGGGTCATGGAATGAGAGGGACCTGAGGAATGAGAGGGGTTACGCTTACTGCCTCTGCCCCACCAAGACTGGACACACAGACGCTAATCTGTCACAGCACGAGAACTTAATACCGCCAGACCCCCGGAGAAGCCTGATGAAGTCATTGGCAGTTTGAGGGTGTGCGCGTGCTTGTGTCTCTGCCGTTTAGCCTTTCGTCATCCATATCTTTAAATGTAAAGCTATTCTGCCTTCGGAAGAAATCCGTCTCCTCCCCACCAGGACCGGATCACATCTGGCTGCTGAAGGCAGACTGCTCAGAAAGTGTTGTGTCACAAAAGTTCAAAGGACTATAAATAGTCACCACATGATGTATAAAGCGTCAGCAATCATGTGATTATCTGCTCTGTGAGGACAGTTTAAAGCGGGTTTTTTTTCTTCCCATTGGCTCTCGGTACACGGCGCGATTGGGTTACACCGAGTGGTCAGCAGTGAGTCCCACCGTGTCATTACGGCCCCGCTAAATGTGTGTACATCTGTGTGTGGATGTTTGCAGGGTGGGGCCTGGGAAGGAGGCACCACGGCCCAGATTGGTTTAGTTTGTCACACCACGAGCTTTACGAGCTAGCCCTGATGCATTACGGAGAGTTCAGGAACGAGGAGGGAAAGAGAGAGTGAAGCAGGTCTGCCTTCAGACTCCAGACATCTGTCTGGGACAAGTGGACAGGAATCCAATCACCTTGTCATTCAGCTCCGTTGATATATCTCTGGCATATTACACCCCATCCTCCACCTCTTGTTCAGATTCTGCTCACTAATGACCCCCGTACCTTTGATTAACAGCTTGACCTACATGAGAGGGGCTGAATGATTCATTCAACATTAGAACCATGATGGCTAAATATGTTGCTTTCAAAGAAAAAGGAATGATTCAATCCTCTGAACGACACCACTGTGCAAAGGTCTTGAGCCCCTCTTAATTTCTTGACATGTTGGTAAAATTAGAACAATGCGCACTTTAATCCGTCTCCAGGAGAAGCTCTTGAAGGACGTCCCAAAGCTTTGGGGAATATTCTTCCCTCCATCAGACCGGCTGCCTCTGATTTTCAGCCCACTTCTTGTGTCATTGCTCAGCATTAACTTCCCTCAGAATGGCTTCTGGACAGTTCTATGGAGAGCATTGCAATGACTTGGTACCCAAGTCATAATCCTGCCAATCAGATGGAATTTTTGGGTGATACATGATTCCTTTTTAATGCTATAAACTAGACTGAGTTCAAATATGTTTTTGGGGTCTTTACAGGGTTTCCTGACTTTGACTTTTATTTTCCTTACTTTCTCTACACCACTAAGGGGAGATTGAGAGAAAAAAAGCTGGTTGTAAAGAGAAGGCATCCAGACATTGAATGAGGAATAAATAAAAGAGATTGGAGACGGTTTGAAATAAATTTGGTGAAGATTTAAGGAAAATGGAAAAACGAGGTGTGGGTGGGTAGAGATGATTAGGCAAAACGAGAGAGTAGAGAGAGAGCTGGGACTTGTCTTTAATCAGCGAGGGGCTGAATGGAGGCGGGCCGAGGTGCCTACTGTAAACCGATACACGCTCGCGCGTCCACGTGCACACACTCCGAGACAGGGGACTGAGTGAGCAGTTCTCCTCGCCGCCACAAACCCGGCGGAGACCGCAGAGGACGGAGCACTGCCGGAGCAAGCCGGGAGAGGGAGGACAGAGTACCCGGAGAGCGCAGAGAGAGAGAGAGGGGAGAGGGGGTTTCTGCAGAGCCGTTTTACGCACGCCAGTCCGATCTGCTCCTTCCAGGAGATCCCGTGTTTTATCTCTACGCGCACACTGCATTTGGGACAGCACACTGAAGGGAAGTTCACATGAAAACGTTTCGTGATTTTAAAAATGCAAACCGCCCCTAATGAAGAGAGTTGTAAATGAAGATTTGTTGAGAGTGAACCTGTCCGGGGAGGAAAAACACTTATTTTTACATCTTGGAAAACTTGACTCATTTCCTTATATTTCCACCAGTTCTGCTTGATTTCTTGTTCGTTTCAAATCTCCCGTTTCTCCTTTCAACTGTTCCACGGTCCGTTCTCGGAGAGCCCCAGTGCGGAGGGACTGTGCGCACCGCGATGGATTTCGCGAGTTTAAAGCAGCGTGAAGATAATGAATGACATGCATCAGATTAGGCTTATTGTGGTTTTCACCAGGAAAATGCAATGCCACACGCAGGCAAAACTCCTGTGAACTGTGCACTGGACCCAGCGTCTCATTCTTGGAGAGCCCAGAGAAAGTAAACCGACGTTTGGATCTTGGACTCTAAAAAGAAAATTGTGGAACAGCACAGACATTTCGGACCACAGCTTTGTTGAATAAACCGAAGAAAAACCGCATAAAAGAAGAGGAGGTGTATGATTTTTTTTTCTCCACATCGGAAGGGAAAAGATGGATTTACTCATATGGTGGTGTGGATGTATACTGCCGCTTCTTTTGCCCTCAGTATCGACAGCAGAGGAGGGGGGTAAGTTTGACCGCTCAACTGCGCGCTTGGATGTCTCACACTGAATGAGAAATAAACTGTTTTCTGACAGCTGGAGTGTAAACAACTGCAAAATGTTCCCGCTAAACTCCTCAAAAGTGTGGAAAACACAGCCAATTCTGACCGAGGCTGCCTTACTGTCAGTCTAAAAGGGGCTGTTGTTAATAGGCTATTAACAATTTAGGGAAACAATAAATAAACAATGTGATAACTGTGGCTGTTACACAGTTCACTCAGTTTAATTTAAAGTGAACTCTGCACAGACTGATCAGACAAACTGACAAGCGCCCCGAAATGCGGGTGGATAAATAAAAAAAGTAAGACCACATATTGTTAGTAGCTGTTTGTCTCTATCTAGACGATAAAGACAAAAATTTGTTCCACTTCACTGCTGCCCGAGTGCTTCCTCTTATTCTATATTATTAATAGATTTTTCTCTTTGATTACAAAGAAATAATATAGTATACACATAATGAACTGATTATATTGTATTATTAATTATTGTTGAATTCTTTCTGGCCTTCTGCTGTCAGCAGACTTTATTACCTTAAGACACTCTAAGATTCCGATTATATCTTTTAACATTACTGGATGATTTCCCCTAAAAATCGAGCTATCCGCATGTGGACGCTTGCAGTCCTGATCGGGATTTACCCGCCTGCTGCTGCCGGGGTCAGCTCCGGAGATCCACCCAGGCTGGTGCTGAGCTGCCCGCGACCAGACGGACTTTAGTCCGCCTCTTTATCTGCAGTTTACATTGACCATTTAATAGAGCTGAGAGAGAAAACCCCAGACTCTGATACGAACACCAAACGGACGCCTCGATGCGTAATGCGTCCGTCTCCATGCACCTTTAAATTTTGCCAAACAGCCTTTACGCACAGCGCAAAAACGGCCAATTTTACGCACCGACGCGGAGGCACAGACTCACTGTAGCTGTTTACGGTGAATCAAACTTAGGCAGCAGTTCCTTCTCTGCCGAGCCGCTACAGGTGTGGCGAAGTCGACCCATGGCCCCCGAGAATTAGCGCTTTCACAGAAAAAACAGTAAACTCAATCATGCGTCATTGTTCTCATTATATTCTTGTTATTGTTCCAAACAAACGGTGGAATAATTTACAGTCTCCGGTGATCTCTGACTGTCGTTTAATGTAATGAACAAAACACGTAGCACCTTAAAGTTTGACATGCATGCATCTGTGTAAACAAAAAAAACGGAAAACAAAAGTGGAGCCCCGGAGAGAGTGGTTCCACTCCTCGACTTAAGGCTCCCTTTAAGCAGATCTCATGACTTGGATTGAGTTGCGTGCTTGCCAGATGCTGTTTTGGAGAAACGCGGAGCAGAACGCAGCGAGCACAGAGGAGCTGTTCTTCAGCTCACATCCACACAGCGGAGCGCGCACGGGCGCGTGTCGTTCTGTGAATGGATACTGTGTGGACATGTTCACGACATCTAGCTGAGATCTAAAATATTGACTGCAGACGAGAAACAAAAGCTCTTCACAACGCCCGGTTGTTTCTGGGTGTAAACCAACCAGCGTCCTAAATGTAAAGAACTGTGTCAGAAATGCACTGATTTGGCACATTTTCCCGACAACCTCTTGACTTATTACCAAAGCACTTATTTGACAACAGAATACGTGATAGAAACTTTATTTTTTCCTGAGGATTGCCTTTAGCCCCCCCTCAAATTTCCGCGCGGGCACAGCGCGCGCCCGTGGAACATCCACGCTTTCGTGGCGCGGTAGAATTGCGCCTCCTCAGCAGTAAACTTCTGCAGATGCCTCTCCTCCCGTCCTCGGAGAGTCGCGCGCGTGAAGCAGGGTGAGCGTGAGAAGTCTGTGCGCGCTGAGCGCGACAGGAGGGACGCAGGCAGAGAGGAAGCAGCGAGAGGGAAGCCGCGGAGAGAAGAGAACGAAACGGAAGAATGCTTTTTCAGCCTCGCTGTTTGATCCTGTTTCTTCATTCCGTTTGATCACAGCTGTGCCTGGAAGGGAGATAAACGGACATAATTGGCCACTCTAGACCAGCTGTCTGCCTCCATAGTGCTGATGAAACAGGATCAGCACAGGGCGGCTGAGCTACCCACAGGTAGCATCAGGGACTTATTCAAACAGACATATTAACAAGTTCATACTAATGTTCACTGTACACAATTTAATTTCAGCTGAGTGGTCTTTAAACACGGACCAAATAAGGAAATTACGCATCCTCCCAATTACGCATCAAATCCTGTGCTCATACAGTAACTATTCAGCGGTAAACTCTACAGTAACAAGTAACGGGACTGCTTGTTTTCTAATAATGAAAACATTTCAGTGTTGTAGGCTGGGCAGCTCTGCAGACCATTATTGACACAAATCTTCCACGTCATTTACTCACTTGATGGGGTTTACCTCTCTTTAGGTCACAACATACTGGACTGACTCCACAATCCCAGTCATTACCTCTCATTAGAGAGGTTGAGCCTTTTGGCTTTAAATATTACTCATTTTCTATAAATGTATATTCATCTAATGGGATTCGTTCCTTCTAATGAAATGTTGTATTATGTGGGAGATTACTGAGAATGTATCAAGATTGGCAAATAATTCACACAGGCTTCATTACTGCAGCATGGAATGTAAATACTGTTCATTATTAAAAATAGAATATCGCAGTCGGCAGTTTGAGGTTGGGTGTTTTCATTTTGATAGTTTGTGTGCCAGTCATTTATCCTGAAATGTGCATTACTGTGACTGGATTAAAAATAGTGATGATGGGAACTGCTAGAAGCTATTTATGCTGCTTACTTTAGGTAATTGTGAACTTTCTCCCTTGGGGGAGCAAAAGGAAATCTGGAAAAAAAAGACAGAAAGAGCAGAGATGGTGTGGAGTGCAAAAGCGAGCGGGAAAGAGGAGAAACTGTGAGGGTGATAGTATTAGAGGGCATTAGTGTAACAAGAGGAAAGCAAGAGAGTGTGAAGCCGTAGTTGAGTGGAGCCACCTGCAGTAAACCAATCCAGATTTATTCCCCTCCTCCACTGAGCACAGGGGGGTTTCAGCCCAAGGTGTGACACTAGATGGGCTGATTATACGCCAAAGGTGACGGATCGAAATGGATCCCTAATGTTCCAAATGAAAATCACAGAAGCACTAAACATGTTTCAGCCGTTGTAACAGAACAGGGAGGATTTTTACTGGGAGGACGGGAGCTTTTTTCTGCTCCAGAAAAGCAGTCCCAGCTCTGGTCTGTGGCAGGTGACACTGGGCTGCAGACTTTGCTCGGGTTACCTTTTAATTACCCGCAGCAAGCAGCTGCTGTCAGGTTCCAGGATTAGGAGCTACCGTCACTCATTTAGCAGTTCAGACTGGTGTGGATTTTTGCTGTTTTGTGTGTTTTTTCATGAAGACACATCTAAGTAACCCATTTAGTCACGCAGAAATTAAGAAATCAGAGAGCACATCAGTGTCTAAATGAATTGTCTATGGGTGTCCTCACATTCGAGGAGTGTGTGTGTGTGTGTGTGGGGGGGGGGGATAGTTGATATGAACTGAACTGAGAAAGACCCATCACTTTTGGATTGTCTTCTTTCTCTGATCTAAAAAGAGACAGGACCATTAGTGGAAGCAGCAGGATGTTGTAATTCCAGTTATCATGTCATTAGTAAACTGTTAGGACTTGTGTGTCCTCATAGGCCGTTTGTAATGACTGGACTAATTACACAGGACAGGCAGACCAGAATGTCTCTGCTGTTTTTGTGCACTTCGCTCAAATAGAAGAAAAATCAAGGAAATCCCTGAAAGGAGGATATCTATGTATCCTTCCTTTAAAAACTTCACATACAGTGAAGAATATCTGTGTGTGTGTGTGTGTGTTTGTGTGTGTGTGTGTGTGTGTGTGTGTGTGTCTGAGCCTTCGAAATCCCTCCGGAGCAATGGGGTGTGAGGCCACAGGTTGTTTTCCTTTTTCTTTCTCCCTGCACGCTAAATCATCCTGTTATTTCCCCACTTCACGGCGCTCCAGCCCTAATAGCACTTCCTTTCTCTTTCTGCACACATCCCTCCATCAGAGGCTCAGAAACCTCTCTCACCTTCTGCTCCACCAGCTCCCACACGCCGCCAAATCTCTCTCACCGTCTGAGCCATTTGTTTTTATCTTTCTCCGTGTCGTCTTCGATTCTGTCACTCTCTTTTTTTCTCATGGTAAAAATCCCTTAACAAAGCTAGTAAAAGAAACTTGTTCAAACACCTCAGAGAAACAGGCGGAATGGTTTTAAGTTTGCAGAATCTGGTGTTTTTCCAATTGCCTAACGGAGAGGTGTGGATTTAGGCCCCATTCATGCTTACAAATTCCTTACATAATCAGCTATTTGGATTGCCTGAGAACAGGCTGCACTGAAAGAGGACAGACTATAGTTTTGATATGTGCTAATCAGATTGAAATAACCACATTTGATATTTCAGTGTCAGGTACTGAGCTGATGCCACATTGCTTCTTTTTGTGGTTATTTCTATTAACATATTCCTTTATATTGAATCTTGTCTGTTTTTAAGTAAATCTCCAAATAAGATGTGTCCAGACTTTCTGATAATAGAATTTTACACACATATATAGAACTTTGTTCTCTTATCCATTGTAGATATTTAGTGAATCAGACCTTCGAGCTACTGATCCTTCTTGGTAACTCCTGTCTGTCACACACAGGCAGACCTACCTTCGTGCTTGGCTTTAGGCAGAAAATTTTTTTTATGTTGCGGTATTTGATGATGATTTCTGGAGGTTAAAACATAGTTTGTTCTTATTTTGACCCTTGTGGATGCTATTTTTACCCACCATGTGCAGTTGGCCACATACTCTTTGAACAGAAATACTGGCTCTGTCTGCATGAACAAAGGTTGCATGTAAGATTTTGTGGAGGAGAATAGTCAAAAAGCTCAAAATATGAACATTTATATCATGAAATATAATGAGGAATGGAGATGGACTCATGTATAAATAGTGATTTTGTTGTAGAAGAAGTTACTTTAATAAATATAAGCCCAAGTAGGTATTTATCGTATCATTTATTAATTAATAAGTTCAAATCTCTGTGATTAAGCAACTTTTAACAGTTTTAAACACATGTAGGGCAGTGACAGTTATGTTTTCTGCTAGTTGTCACTTTTAGGTATTGGTCTTTATCATTCTCTGTTTTCATTTGATATTGTATCATCATTTTACATTTCAGAGCTCTGTGAGTTCAGAAACATGTTCTTATGATAGAACATTTTCTCTCCTGTTCTCTGTTCATTTTTGATGACTCATTTGACTTAGGCATTTTCCACTCAGTATTGTCAGTCTCAGATCCTTTGTAGTACTGTTTTACACAAATCCATGCCTCCACCCTGTAGTTTTCCACTGTGTCTTAATGCAGAGCACCTGGAGAACACCCCACCTGCCTTTTGCTGTGTGTTGGTCTCTGCCTCACTATGTGTGTGTAGCTTAAATTTTCTGTCCACTTAGCTATTCTCAGCTGCTGACTTTCTCCTTTTAGATGATGAAAGACAGATGTTCTTGCATCACTCTCCTCACTTATTTTCATCTCAGGCTTCTCCTTCTTTTTCACTCTTCTCTCCTTGTTTGTCCATTTTCAGGTTTCAGTGAACTGAAAGATTTTGGTTTTGATCCAGAAAATATTTCTCAATCTGTTATTACAATTTTTTCATATATTACAATTGATATGACAGACACACACATGGTTCTTCTTTGGAGAAATTATGCAGTGAGCCCCAAAACGGGTGCATATGAAATCAAAGAAATGAATAGATAATGATCTGTGTGAAAATGATGACTTTTTAATCACATAGTCTAAGTAAACTGATTCTTACATTTTGGGAACAATTAAGGTCAAAATGAGGAGAGTGCTTGGCTTATTGTGCTATTTGGAGCATCAGGGCCAGTCGTGCTGACTATTTGTTCCTTAGCAACCTCTCTGATTGGCTGTGCCAGACACATTTTCTCGCTTTTAAAGGTAAATACTAACTGGACTACCCATTCTTTCATTATAGGTTTAAGTGGATGGAAATTACTCACATTAGCAAAGCTCTTGCTGAAGCAAATCGATGTCTTCGGGCTGAAAAGTGTCTGTTTTGCGTCAAGGCAGACTCCAGCAGGTGGAAAACTGAATCTGTTAGAGAGTTTTGAAACAAGGTCAGAACATTTGCATTCGGGGCAAACAGAGATTTAGTTCAATCCTTTCAGGCAGCAGTGTGTTGAAATGTCTGCGATGGTGCAAGTTTGGGAATATAAAAAGTGAGACACACATTTCTGTGAAGCTATGTGTGTGTGGTGTGGTTTGAGCATATAGGGAAAAGTTGCTGAATAGGTGTTACTGGATCTGCAATATCAAACACGGTGGTAAGACATAAATAATGTAGTGAACTGTCTTATATCCCTGCTCAACTGCTTAGCACCATTTACCGCTATTTATTTCTGTGTGTATGTGTGTGTGTGTGTGTGTGGACTGAGTCCAGTGATGTCTTGGCCAGATGGGGAAAAAGATGTTCTGTGCTATGTGGACATTTGTTGTGAATTTGTGATCTAACTACAGCCCCTCCCTGATTATCCTGAATACTGATGTGGTTTAGAAAAAAAAAAAAACCCGAAAAGTAAGGTCAAAGAAGTATTAACCTTACTTTTTTAGGTCGTATCTGCTGCAATGCATGTGGCTGATTTCCTTTTTTTTTTTTCTTCTTGTTTTTACCTGTTTGATAAATCTTGACACGGACTCAGGTTTTCCCTCAACGCATATGCTCAATACTCTGACCCACATCACAAACTGCACTTCACACCGTGCACATCCACGTTTCCGTGCAGAATACGAATTAGCATTGTCATTGATTTTGATTTGGACGCTGTTTTAGAAACTGTCTTTTATGTCCTTCCATATCACGTCAGGGGCTGGAGATAGCAGCGCACGTACAGGGAAACGTGAATGTGGTCACAGAAGATGAGCTACTAAATCAGACCTGAGAGAGAGTCGGGTTCTTGCTGTGATGGGATGCATTAATTGTTGAATGAATTTGTGTGAATGTCTGCAGATGAATAGATCCTTAAAGTGGAGCAGACACATCACTCCATGCACATACACCAGCTGTCTCATTAGTACACCAGTCTGATTCATCAGACACCTTGAGCTTCTGTTTATTGACCAAGTGGCAAAGTAGAGAGAGGACGGGGTAGTTGGACTTAAAGTGTTTAGGCATATACGATCTACTGAGGCACATCCTGTTAGGCTGCATTGTTGTACAGGTGCCCTGCGATGGACTGGAGACCTGGCCAGGGTGTAGCCCCCCCCTTTCACCTGTAGGGATAGGCCCCAGACCCCCGCCCCCACGTTGGGAATAGCAGCATAGAAAATGGAGGGATGTATGTATCTTGTAGAGGTTGTTGTGTTTTTATATCCACTCACTTTGTTTCCAAAAGTCAGGAAGAATAAAGCCTATGATCTAGGTCAAAGAAAAAAAGGGGCTCTACCCTAAAGACATGAATTAAGGAACATTTCTTGTTTTATCTTTCTTGAGGAACAAGAGTGACCCAAAGCGGTCATTTATGCTTATTTTCTCCAGAGATTAATTTAAGCATTGCAGCAATATAGAATTTTAAGCAGCACTCATCTCTCACAGGGAAATATTGGACAAAAACGATCACCATCATTATCAACTCAACTGTCTCCATCACCATCTTTGTTCTGTTTGTTGAGAACAGAAGAGGTGAAACAGGCCGATGTTGCTGATTGTTACAGAGGAGTAGCGGGCTGCCCATAAACATGTTCAGCTGCCATCAGATCAGCAGTAGGAGCCACGTGTTTTCAGGAAGCTTTAAGATCATTTTGTGGTGTTCATTCTCAACATATTGAAGGGTGGCACACAAAGCTGCTGTCATGAAGTCTCAGAACTCATTGAGTAGAGTTTTTCTAATTTCTCTATTTCTTGCAAATATTGTGTGTTCAGAGAACAAATACTGTTCTTATTTTGGTGTTTGAAATGTCTGCTTCACACATGGTTTCATACCTGAGATGACACAGTTGGGTGGCAACTGCACGTCTCAAGCAGTGGTGTGAATGTTTTTACGCTGTGCACAGTTTATCCATTCATCAGAATAATTATTGTTTTTATATTTTTGTGCAACTGTGTGCAACTATGGAGTCATTTTTTAAACTCAGCATATTGTGAGACTTTCCAATTATTAGTATGGAGGGAAACTATGTCAAGCAGGTCGTTTTTGGTAGAAAATCATGTCTCGTAAAACCTTCTTTAAATTGAGCTGGCTAAACAGTGAGCTAAAAGTGGTGTTTGGCTGGTGCTGCTGTGAGATTCCTCAGTGGTTAAACACTAATCCAGGTGGTGCTGAGATGAAATGCATCTGGCTTGGCTGCATAGCTCGTGCAATTCTATTCCTGTATTACTGTATGTCACCGGGGAGATTGGAAACAGATAGGTGGAGTCAGATGGGACTAGCTGGTTCCCAGCGTGAGGTGCAGGGGACAGAGAGATAACGAGTGATGGTCATTAATTGTTAGCAGGCAGACTGAGCCAGACACCAGATATAGATGCCAAAGTGTCAATCATGTCTTGTACTGAATGCTGAAACCTGACCTCCTCTGTTATTTTCACCGGCTGACTCTTAGACGTATGACGTGTTTTAGAGCTAATGAAGGCCTATTTTGCAGTGGTGATAAAACTGAGATTTTTCAGCTATATTATTAAATGCTTGCCTACTTTTGAAGTAGTTTGAAGCTGGCCATGTGTTTATGCTGTGCCCTGTGTGAGTGCTAATGTTTGCATGTGTGACTGCTCTCAGAGTAGGTTTACAGTAGCCGGTCTATTAATAGCTTAAAAACATGTTGTATTCTGCTGAGTAGTTTGACTTGGCTATGTCAACCCCTCACAGTGCAGTGGCAGTAAATAAAAAAGTCAGAGCCTAGAATCTGCACGCAGATTGACCCCTCTCACTTTCCTTGCGTCGCTGGCCTCTTGTTGCAGATTCAGCCGTGACTGAAAGAATTACAGACTGTCAGGACTGAATGCATGATTACAAGCTTGTTTTGTCATTTCTTTCTCAAAAAGGAGAAATTATTTTAGGTGTTACATACCAGCAAAGCATTTCCCGTCCAACGTTCATGGAAACTGTCTTCATTAGACCAGTCGGGTCTATTGTGGCCAGTAGATTTTATATTCCAAATTCTAAATTTCTTGTTAAATATATACAGTTTGATAATTGTTTTGTCTGTCTGTGAATTCATAAAACGCTTCCAGAAAACTTGTTGTGGAGAGGCAGAGCCAGGACAGTTTTCTGTCTATATGTCATATAGTTCTTTAAAGTGTTTAGGGCAGACAGTAGGGTTGGCAGTGGGCTTGAATTTAAACTTAAAATATACTATTGTATTAGAAATTGTTAAACATCACAAAGATTACATTCAGTGTATTCCACTGTGAAGGTTCAACTTTGATCTTAAACATTTAAGGAGCGCATAAAAAGTCTGCACAGCCCATTAAAAGAGAAGCAAATCCTCTGAGCAGTTCACCCTTCAGATTTCATACAGTGGAGCTGTGTGTGTGTGTGTGTGTGTGTGTTATGTTGCTGGGTGTCACAGATGTATGTGCTGCCCGTCTATACCAGGATACATCTGCAGCAGAGAATGAACGGCATTGTTTGTGGCATGACACGGACTTATGACTGCTGACAAGTGGATCCGCTCAGTGACAGTAACTGTGACATCTGGTGAAATGTGTGTGTATAAGATAGAGAGCATGTGAGTCATCCTGGGCCAGAATGAAGTCTTTGTGGGTCAGGATGCTGCACTGACTTTTGACACACACAGGGGCACATCTACATTTCTTTCTCATATCCTGTCGCTGCAAAAGCCCAACTCTATTAAGCAGTTCATCTGCTTTTCCGAGATGAACATTTTTATAAAGGCTTTATAAGTCTGTATAAAATAAAATAAACTGTGGTCTGCTACCATGTGGAGAAGGCACTGTTGTTTTGAGCTATGATTGAGAATTTATTCTATAATTTTTGGAGATCAAAAGTCATTAAAAAACACAAAACTTCAGAGTAAGAAGTCAGAATTATGAGAACAAATTTAAAAACTCTCCAAAAATCAGCATCATTTTGAGATGTTTACTCAAAATAGTCATAAATGCCAGGTGGAAAATATTTTAATCTGTTGTCATCAAAGCAATGAAAATGTGTTTGATACATTAATATGTCTTTTAAATCTTTTATTTTTAATCTCTCCTTCTGTGAGGTTGAGGTTGGATCCTCTGTATGTGTCTCTGTATTATTTTATGATAATTATCAGTCACACAATTCTGATTTGTTTTTGCCCGATGACATGATTCTAACATTTTGGTTCCTGTTTTTGTCTTTACCTCTTTCTCCTCCCTTCATCCAGGATCTGAGCCGTGTGGAGGCTTCGTGGACGCCACTGAGGCTGGCTACATCACCACCCCAGGCTACCCCCTGGAATACCCTCCCAACCAGAATTGCCGCTGGGTCATCACAGCCCCCGAGCCTTCACAACGCATAATCCTCAATTTCAACCCCCACTTTGAAATCGAGAAACTGGACTGCAGGTGAGGCTCGCAGATTACTTGTGCCGGCTGGCAAACGGAGACTTAGTTGAAACAAAGTGAGACCGAACTGATTGAAGGATAGAGGGATTTAAAGTTCCATGAAAAGTTGGGTTACATATGACAAGTTTCACTTTTTCAATTTTTCTCCCTGAAACGTCTGTGGCGCTGACTGTGTGGGACCTGCTGGGTGTATTTAGTGAACTCCAGCCCACTCTTCTTCTGTTTTTCTGGCTTTCATTATAGCATAATAATCCCTCTGGGACCTCCCTTGGTCCCATGTCTCTAATTATCAAAGTCTAGTTACAACACATTTTCAGTTCCAGTATAATTTTTCACACTTTGGAGCAATAAACGCAGCTCAGAGGATTTTGGGTGCATCAACATGTTTTCCACTCGGTTTTGGCTGGACAGTGAGGCCCATGGAAAGGAAAGAATGTTGCAATAAAACTAGAGTGAAAGGCATAAATGCAAACTGAGATATTACATAAAAACGACATTAGTTGAGAAGACGGGTTTGGAATCCAGACGATTTTAGACAAGACTTGCATATCATGACATGCATGTGTAATTTCAAGACCTATGGACAGTTCTCTAAAAATTATCTGTACACACAAAACACATAAACTTAAACAACGCTAAGTGACATCTTCATCCAGGAGCTTTAAAGTGCACAGACGGGCTACAAAACGGGTGAAAGCATCCCACTCCCACTTATTAGGGAAACCTGAAGGACACTGAGCGTAAAACACTACCGGGTCAAACACAGCAACGCACACAGACATGCAGACAAACGCACAAGCACACACTTTTCAACCTCAGCCAGTGTCTCAGTGCTTTTCCATCCAGTTATTAACATTTCAGCCATATCAATTATGGATAGGTGAATTCTCCCCTGTCAGATGTAACAAAATCATTCAGACATTTCTTTGTTGGAATTGAAACATCAATATTTTACTGGCTGCCTGCTTGTTGAAAGGCTGAGAAGTTGAAAAGAGCGGCTGTTTTTGTCCTGTTTCCAGACCGTGCTGTGGAAATGGGAAAACACACACGTTTGTCTCCCTGTCCTAATGGTTCTTTCAGTTACACTCAACATCCAGTTTGATACGTATTGTTGGACTCTTATTGTTCCTTTCAGGATGTGTTTTATTCCATTTTGCCCGTCTGCTTTGCTCCCTTTTATTCCCTTCTCATTCCTTCCTCTTTTTCTTTGACTTCCCAATCCATTTAAAGGCCAAACGTTTCCCGGGAGGATTGAATGTCGTATCTTCTTGAAATAGCAGAATATATTTTATTTAGTACAGTGAGTGCATCTAGTGGACTACAGATGTTGAGCTTTATTCTGGTCTTGTGCTGGTGGTCACTGCCCATGTGGTTCTTTTGTCGTTTTTTTTTAGTTAGTTTACTTTTGGAAAACCTTTTTTCCGGCTATGGGTGCAGAGTGAAGTATATATATATATATATATACGTTAGTGCCTTAAGGTAAAGCGTTACTTAGGTCAACAGGCACCTGCCCCTGGTGCGTTAGTGTGTGTGTGTGGTTTGTGTGTGCCTAAAACTGACCTGTTGGGTTCAGAGGACAAGAAGGCCAAGTAAGTGGAAGTATGTTTGTCTGTTGGAGACAAATGTACATGTTTGTCAAATGATTCTCAGCAACAGGCTTGGCAGACAAACACACTCCTGGCTGTGTTTGGTTCACTTTAGCTTTATTTTCTTCCCTCCATAGTGAGAAGCTGCACACCTGCAAGAGGTTGACATGGATTGTATTTTGCACCAGAAACACACAGATGTGTTCAGACCTCACCAGCGAGGCATTAAGTGCTGGTCACTGCGTGGGCAAACTGGGGTCAGCGCAGCTCTGTAATCCTGTTTACTGTAACAGACTCTCATCATGTTACTCATGGGTGATTATGCTGCTAAACAGCCGGCGGGTGGACATGCAGCCACTCGCAGGCTAAACATTGCTAGTTTCAGACTTGTGGTGCTTTGCATTTCTATATAACCCACAAATTGTTTTAATATTTTTAAGTTAAAACTGCATAGACCTTAAATCTACTAGACATTAAACTGACTGAATGCTCAAAAACGCTCCTGTACCTTTAACAGGTTCTGAACTAGAGAAAACAGTTAAATGAAAACATCAGCATTCACACATCCACCCGTCCATTTTCTCTGCTGATCATTCCCAGTAGGGTCACAGGGGGCCACAGCCCAGGCCAGCTGTCTCTGGGCGTGGGGGGGGTGGACCCCGGACAGGTCTCCAGGCCCTCACCCCCACACGCTTTATAACAAGTCTGATTGGAACAGTTGAGCAGGATTTGTGCTGTACTTTGTAACAGGTTACACAGCTCATGAAACGCAAAATGTTGTAGGCTGAAGCAGTGGCTGAATGCCTGCTTCACATTTTTGTCTTAGTTCACTGCTCCCTGCTCAGTGTGATGGATTTGGATTGTTTGAGAAAGAGGACAACGGCACAAAAAGTGCAGCGTCAGGGTCTGCTGAGGGCAGCCTCAAATCATCCTGCCAGCCTTCTCCTGTCTCCATGGCTCCTCTCCTCTTTCCTCCTGGCTCTTTTCCCCATTCTCACCCCTCAGTTCATCCCCTCCCCTCCCACTGCCCATCGCTCTCCATCTGTCATTTCTCACCTGCATTTGAAACTTAGCTGGGCTCTCTTGCTTCTCCTTTTCCTCCATTTCCATCATCTCTTCTCCTCTTTTGCCCTGACCTCATCCTACCTGCTTTGAATGCATAAATCGGATTTCTCGTTTTCTTTATAATTCCCCTCTCCTCCTTTTCGATACCTCGCCTCATAACCTCTTCCTACTTCTCTGAGTGTCTTTTATTTGAGGAATCATTATTCAGCAGCTGCTAAAAAAAAAAATGTAAGCACAATGTCAAGTGCCACCCACTCATCCTCTTCCTCTTAGCATCTGTAATTCTCTTGCTTTGTGAACACTGAATTTGATCTTCCTGCTCTTTGCCATCATCTTCACATTACTTTCAACCTACACACAAACTAACAGACCGGCGTGCCGTGTGAGGCAGTGGAGAATTCGACTGGAAGGTGTGGGCTGGTTCTGGTTCTGAAAGTCCCACGTGATACGAGTACAAAATGCAGGACGACCTAAGTCTTTTCACAACTGTATGGCTCACACAGCAAACGTGGAGTAAAGCAGTGAGTTCCGAAGTGATTTGGAACCTGTAGCTACAAATTATGGTTCCACTAATGATTTATTTAAACCTTATTTTCCTGCTCTGCATCGACCGATCATTCGATTTCATGCTAGATCTGTTCCTCTCTTTTCCTCTCTTCTCTCCTCTCCTCTGCTTTTCCCTTCGTTGCTCTACATAGACCTATGTGTAAAGTGGAATTTCAGGCGGTTATCGTGCATGAAAATGTGTGACTGGAGATGTGGGCTTATTCCTTCCCACATGAAGCCACACCTGGCCGGCAGGCAGCAGCTCCACCAATAGGAGAGCACACGGGACAGAGATGTGATGTGACACTGGCCTGAGGGCAGAATGGCAGGAGGAGGAAGGTGGAGGGAGAGATAAAAAGACTGTTTGACAGAAGAAGGAGGAGCAGCATGTGGACTGACAGTTCGATTACCAGCTGTGGGCATTTAGCAGCTGCCTGCATGTTTGAATTAGCATCACAGGGATTCTCCCAGCAGGACACCCGGGCATCCACACAACAGAACCTGATCAGGAGGGAGGACAGAGCTGTCACACACCTGCAGAAGGAGCCCAGAGATCTCGTTGGAAGTAGTAAAGGCTTATAACGCATAGTTTCTTGACATGAAAATAGTCACTGTGAGCTTTCAGGAAGTGATGACAACAGGTGGCTTCGGGGGGCTTTGCCCCCTCCAGCTGGTAAAAACAGCTCTGGTCAAAACAGAATGTCTGTGGAGACAGGTGTTTTGATGTGATTATTTCACATTATCCCAGAGCTGCACACATCGCCTATCCAATCAAAAGTAGCGCCTGCACAGAATGATTTTCTTTCTCAAATTGACACAATTTCCTGAGGTCTTAATGAATTGCTTATGACATGCCCTGGTTAAAGATATAACAGAAGCACAATTCAAACACTCTTTTCCCACCACAACTTTATAACTCTCTTAAAACTAACCTGTGGTGGAGCACCGAGATCTTCTCACCATTGTCTCCTGTGATTTGGTCGTTGTGAATTATTCGTTTTCAGCAAAAAATAAAACATAAGCTAAAACTGTGTTTAGCTAAATTATTCAGAGGATAATGTGAAAAACTGACTGTTTAAATGAACCACTTTTCACCAATATCAGTAAGGCAAAGAGATAGATAGTTCTACTGAGTTAGGAGTATGATGTCAACATCTGTAAAAAAAAGAGAATCAGATATTATTTAACCTATGTTGGCCGAAAGAAAAAGCTAAGATTAATTATTTCTGAGTTGACAGTAATTTTGATCTCTTCACACAGAAAGAATAAAGAAGTTAATCAGTAATATCCATCAGATCCTTCACAAACCAGTCCAGGACTTTAAGTTCAAGATGGTTTTTTTAAAAACATTTAGCTAAACACAATGTGTTAGTCATCCCAAATTGGAGCAAAAATATTAAATATAAGATCAGTGAAATTACAAAAAAAAATTATTAACTTGAACACAGTTTACCACACTGAACTATTCTGTCGTGTAATTATGTGTTTAAAGTGTTTTAACACAGTTTACGCATTTAGGACACGATAATTATGACAGCATCAATGAAGATGAATCATACCTCTTTTTGTGGGTCTGTTCATATACTTTTAACTTTTAAAAGAGTTGCTACTCACCAGCCGAAGATAATTGATGTTAAAGAAAAGCATATTTCAATATTTGTTGACCACTGGAGTGGTAACCCAACGAAATCCAGGGGAGGTAATGATGATAACATCAGTTCTTTGATTTACAAACACTCCCCGAGGCCCTGAAAGTCTGCCTGATCAATGTTTGCCACTGTAATAATTCTGCATATGTGTGTGTGTGAGTGTGTGTGTGAGTGTGTGTGTATGCATTTGCAGATAAATGTCTGCGTGTGTCCAGCTGCAGTCTCCAGGATGACCAATCGATTGCTCATTATGGCTTTAACAGACATTGATCAGGATCAGTCCTTCACTTACATGTGCACACAGTCCACAGTAATAGTAATATTACTTGATATCAGTAAAGTGAGTCATTCGGTGAAGTCAGTCTTTCTTCTGACTTTATTAACTGCTTCATCGATAGACTGCCTGCCGCTGCTTTAACTCTGGGCAAGTGGACGAATGTACTGTGTAGAGAAACGACTGTGTGGGTCACACATAGTGTGAAACCTGGATATAACAGACTTTAAAAAGGTTGCTTTATTGTTTTAGTTTTTGATGCCGGATCCCAGGCGGGTGCACAGCTGCATAATTTTAATTTATTCCCATTTTCACCCCAACTTCACAGTGACACTTAATTCACTGACTTATAGTACTTTGAGATTTCACATAGGTCAGGTCTAAAGGATAAATTGATTAATTAATTAATTAATTTTTCAGGTTAGATTTATGTCCAATGACATATGAGCAATGTCTCTAGACGAGTTTTTTTGGTGAGAATGGAGGCATCAGTGGACTATGCCGTAATGGCATTCTGACACTTTATCTTAAAGCTTTGTCTTTGATGAGGATGTGGAAAACTTATTTTAATACCCCTTATTCTCTGGGCTGTTCATCATTGCACTCTGTCTGGAAAAGCCACCTGGAATTGCATTTCTTAGGGTCTTCTGAATCATTGTACCATAATCTTGTCATGTTGAGGTGGGGTTAAGCCCCAGAATGATAAAACTGGGCTCTTAAATAGTTTGATTACTATAAGACACAACTTTGTGTTTAGGGCCCGATTTCTAACTTAATCAGCATCTTTTTGTAAAAAAACATTATGAAGTAATACAGCCAAATTTCTAATTAGAACATCAGAAATTGTGCATGAAAGCCAGCCCATTAGAACTATATCAGCTTTTTCTCAAAGCATTTCCAGATTGGTGTTTTGCTGTGATAAAATCCTGATGTCATAACTTGGTGCCATCTGGTGAGAATCACCCTTCAGCTGTTATCTCCTAGCAGTAGAAGGTCTTGAACATTTTCTCACACAGTCCACAGAGATCACATATAGCTCACCCAACTCAGTTCCATGTCCGTGCATGAGGTGTTTGGCAAGAATGAGTCAGTCTCCAAACGTGATTTTGTCCTGACAGCTCACCAACAGCGAACAATGCAGTTTTGCTTCTCTATGAAGCATCTTAAAATATCCCCAATGACTAAAACTGAATTGTGTAATGAACAGCGTGTGGAAAGAAGGCTCTACATGTATGAATCACCACATGTTTGACTGAAAGCTTTTCTATGGTGTTCACTTGACTCTTTTGGAAGCTTCTCTGTAAAAGCAGAACAAGGCCGCACACACATGCTGTGAAAAGAATGAACAGCATGATTTTTTCACAAGTTTCCAAACCCAGTTGGTACCTCGAGCTCTTTGTGATGTTGGTAATGAAAGTTTGGTTTCTTCTCTGTCAGCCCATCCAAAAAATGTACATTCCAGGGACAGACAGAACGGAAACCACAAATATATCAAATCTAACAACAACATGGTTATACATTTTTATCAACTCATTACTCATATTTGTATTTGATCTCTTTTTTCCTGAATAAGCTGTGAACGTGTGTGTTCACGCTGTTTCCACAGCAAACGTCCGTCGGATGTTTGAATGAAGCCTGCAGGTGGGAGAAGACGGCTCCCAACCTGCAGTCAGACAGAGAGGCGTTTAAGAGGAGGCAGAGGTTGAAGTTAAATTATTTCTGTCACTGAATCATTTCTCCACTTCCTGTCAAGTATGGTTTGACTACCTTTTTATCACTCATACTCTGAAAACACAAACAAGGTTGTCAGAATCTCAGATAATACTGTCGGCTTTAATTTAAGTTCTACTCTCCAATCTGTGCTTCTTAAAGCCTCCCACCTGTGACTGCCTGTCAGAAGAGCAGAGAAGGTGGACTGAAAGCAGTTTCAGGTTCTCTTACAGACTCTATGCAAAGTGTCCAGGCTAAATTTCTAAATTCTTCTCCTCCCTTCGCTTTTGGAATTTTTTTAAAACCTGAGAGTAGATTTCTTCCAAACACAAAATCACAAAGATCTAAATATCTAAAAAAAATCTGTTTAGATATTTTTTCTACTAAGTTCAAATTTATTTATTTTTTTATACAATAATGACTCTTCCTTATTATTTCCTGCTCTTTTTTACATTCCATGTTCAGTGGTTTGGATCCTAAGCACATGGAACAATCCTACGGAAGCAGAGAGTAACGAAGAAAACCATGAAAAGCAAATATCTTGAAATATTAAGGGAGGGAGTTGGCGACAAAAATAAAGAAAAGGGGAGTTTCTGTGGAGACGAGTAGCTATTAAACAAAGTTGTCACAGCAGAAAAGGAGGCGGGGAAACTGTTAAAAAAAAAACTGTCTGGTACTGAAGCACAGGCACACACACACACACACACACACACTAACTCACACTTGTATGCACATGTGCAGACGCACCCACATGCTCAGTGACAGCTTACGTCATAAATCTGGTGTTGGTTCCACACAGAGCAGGATGAGGAGTGGGCAGTGTGTGGGGCTCAGCGTGCCGGTGGCGGCTCACCTGTCGGAGGACACACAGACTCCAGGCAGAGACGAGCAGCGGTCTGGGCTGCTGGCAGCTTTTTCTACAGCTGTCAGGGTTCGCTAGTCTTGAGTTAAAGTCTGTTAGCGCCACTGTTTGTGTGACGTGACAAGAGGCAGGTTCTGCCACATGCCGCCCTGTAAAAGGGAATTCTGAGGTTGTATTTATGCAGAGGCACTGTGTGAAAAGGGCCGGTGGTTTAACAGTCTGCAGAACCACACTGAACCGCAGTACCCTGAAGTCATGCTTTTCTCTGGGATACTATCAGTCTCCTATTCTGGGGAAACGCTTCAGTTTGTTAAGGTTTCAGGTTTTTAATGAATGAATGGCTCATTTGAATCAGGTTTAACATCTCCACTTTGAACAAGTGGAATATTTCAATTAGTTTCTTTCCCAGCTATCAATGGATTTACTCCGGTGTTGGGGGTCCCGAAGGGTTTCGATATGGTGCGTTTGGTTTTCACCAGATGTGGTGCAGATGTGCACAGCTGCACTTTAGTCTGCTTGAGTCAAAAAACGTTCCAGAAGTCTTTGTTAAAGTGTTTTTCCGTTTAGATGTGCTGCCATGGTCTTTTGGGAGAGAAGAGGTTTTCTAAAGCCATATTGTACTGGCAAAGCATGTTGAGTGAGATGTCGCTCTGGGTTTATTTCCAGTTTATCCAAAACATGATTTCAGCCTTAAGAGGGAATTGTATGTTGCTAACTCTGGGTTTGGACAAATCTTGTCACACCAGTGATGTAAAAAAATATTGAAATGATTATTACAGAAATAAAAATAAATGTTTGAGTTTTCTTGTATAGAAAAATCTCTAGAGAACATAATGGAACTTGGAATGGAATGGAAGTTGGAAGTTTTGAGTTTATTTGTGTTAGGAATTTGTTCACAAGAAGCTATTTTAGAGTTTGGCAGGTGTGTCTTTGGTATCTAGACAATGAGGCAACACTCCTGCTGTGGGTCTGCAAAACAGACCTTGACATTTGTTGTTCATCAGAAAGCATGAAAGAAACTAAAATAGATTTTTTGTCAGAGCCTTCCTTTTATAGAGAACATTCCTAGTGGACACATTTGTAATCTCGCAGACGGTTTCCAGCATTTGGACTTCATCCTTTTTTTGCACTTTTCCTTTTTGTATACCTGAACCACAGAAACCTTGTAGTACATAAATGTAACATATGCTGATGTTTGATTATACAGAAAAGTATGCATGCTGCTACCACATTTTAAATGTAAGCAAACAAAAGGATGTTTGCTTTGGCAAACATTTTTACGGCTTTCTACATGCTGCAAATCAAATAAATGTTCTGTGGAGTCAATCAGAATTCGTCCCAGAGCGAGGTTATTTATGGGTTTACTTGTCTGTCTGTTTCAGGTACGACTATGTTGAGATTCACGATGGAAACTCCGAGTCAGCGGACCTGCTGGGGAAGCACTGCAGCAACATTGCCCCCGCACCAATCATATCATCAGGCCCCTCCGTGCACATCAAGTTCGTCTCAGACTACGCCCAGCAGGGGGCCGGCTTCTCCTTACGCTATGAGATCTTCAAAACGGGTAAATAGACACATTTTATCATTTAAATGTTTATTTCATCTCAGCGATATACAGTCGTGGCGTTTACAACGGCGTCTCAACTTTTTTGAACGGCACTCTATGAGACATGGAGCCTGACAAGAAGTTTTCAAGCATTTTAAGTTTTTCAATATACTCTGAATTTAGTCAGTGCTGAAAATGGCAGTATTTCACAAAACAAGTTTACACCTGGAAGTATTGCAAAAGTGGAGTACACCTATAAGTAGGCCATCGATGACTTTATTACGAGATATTAGAGAACTCAACCCGTGGCTTTAGGTGATCGAGCCTCGTTTATCTCCCTGGAGTCAGCGGAGATGGAGAGAAAGAGGAAAGAGATACAGGAGAAGACCCTCGAGGGCCCCCTAGTCTGTCCAAGCGGGTCATTTCTTCTCTTCATGGTACTTTGTGTGTGTGTACAAGTGTGTGTGCCCGACATGGCTCCCCTTCACGCTGCTACGGGTCAGTCAAAGCGCGACCAATTGAGATCAAGGGCAAGTGAGACAGAGAGGCGCGGAGTGTCGGCCCCACAGCCATCTTGTCCCATTCCTCTGAAAGCATTCCTTACATGCCAGCTTAATTGAGTCCTGAGCCCCTGTTCCCCTGAGACACACACACACGCAGACACACACACACACACACACACACACACACACACACACACACACTCACAGTGGGCTGGGGTTACTAATACACGGGATTGTCAGTGTTTCTCTTTTACCGGCAACAGCCTTTTGGGAATTAGTCGGTGTGCGTGTTTGTGTGTGTGTGCTCTTTGATCACAACCACCTGATGGACTTGAAAACAACAAAGGTGTGAGGTCGTATCCACAACCCAAGGAGGAAAAGATCGTGTGACACGGAAAAAGAATACGATTTGTGGACCATCCATCTATTTTCTATGCGGCATCTATGCTGATGGGAGGCGGGCCACGCTCTGGACAGCTTGCCAGTCCCTGGCAGGGCAACACAGAGACAACCAACCACACACACACACACACTCAACAGTCCCTCCTAGGGGCAATTTGGAGTGTCCAATTAACCTAACATGCATGTTTTTGGACGGTGGGAGGAAGCCGGAGAACTGAGAGATAACACCCAGACACAGGAGAACATACAGACTCCACCCAGAAAGGTCCTGGTTCCCCCGGGGACTAAAGCCAGGAAGCCACTACTTGCTGTGAGGTGATGGTGCTAACCACCACTCCACTGTGCTGCTCCTTTTGTGAACCAATTTATTGATTTTGAACTTTAAAGCCGTAAACTTACCAGACGTGAAACATAAAACACAAGAGGTTTTATGTTTTGTTTCTTTGTTATATGCATCTAGTTGCTTTTATGAGCAAACTAAGTCATTTTATAAGGACTGATCATGAAATTTACTACTCTACAATTTCATTAGATTAAAGTTATTTATGAGGTAAAATAAGGCTATTTTATCTCTGTGTAGTGAGTGTGTTCTTTTATATATAAAACCAGCCCACTGGGTGAACATACATTTCCAGTAGCAGCTCATGGCTGTTGTAACAGAGAAGGAAGATCAGGCTTAATGTGTAAATGTGCAGAAATACACATATTTGATATTTTAAACTTACCCTGTGCAACAAAAAAAAAATTAAATTGTGAAATCATCAATTTTTTTTTTTTTTTTTAACATTGTCTGGGGTATCAAATCTGATCACCACTGACAAAATCTGTTTAATTTCTTTATCGTTTAAATTGAAGAGATCAGTGTCACGTTATTTGAAGAGTCAAACAGTGTCTCCTTGAGGGGATATTTTAGAGTAGCCCAATGCTTCTGGGTTTGGTTTAGCAGGAATGTTTATTCATATTGGGAAAAGACTAAGAGAAAGCATCACATGTCAAACAAACGCAGAATTGTTTTCCAAGCCGTTATAAAGATCTGCCTTACTTGTTCTTGTTTACAGCTCTGTTGCCATGGTGACTCGAGTTAATTTTCAGCCAGTACTAAAACAGACACAGAAGTTGGCAGCCAATCAAATTTCACTGTCTCGGCAGCTTGCCCCCAGTTGTTATTGTGACCCAGAACTCAGCAGACACGCACACACACGCACACACACATATGAATGCACTGATGCAGCGTGGATCACGCATGCAGCGCAGCTTGAATGTCTGCACGCAAACCCTAATTCACACGTCCACATGCACACTTCTTATTTCCTCACTTAAAGGGATATTACATCGACTTTAGTCATTTGCTGGAGGGGAACTCCTAACCTACATCAAAAGCACAGGGCAAAGCCGAAACCTAGAACACTTCTCCTCTCTACCATCTTTTGTCTAACATGAGAAATAACAAATTTGATGTCACCAGAATGAGCAGATTTGGATAAGGGACAGAAGTACATCAGGCTGAGTGACAGTCCCCCAGTAACTGGGCTTGTTTACATTCTGCTCTATGCCTTCAGGCACATCTCTTCTGCCTCCGTCTGACTATTCATCAAAGGCGTTTAATAGAGTTTAACCAATCATATCACTCTGCCCCCCTCCCTGTGGCCTAAACTGAGTCAAGCGGCTCCAGATATGACTAGTAACAAGCAAAAGGTTATTTTCAGTAACAATAACAAATAATAATGATGTTCCTCTGAAGGTTCTTTGTAAGAAAAGTAAGCAGATTTTTTCCCCCTTGTTATCAGGCCATCTGTTTTGCATCATAATTTAAAAAAACAAACAATCAATATAATTCCATCCATCTGTGCCAGTGATTTGGAGTCGTTTCCCGTCTGTAGGCCTCTATCCTAGAGGTGGGGGACCTGGACTGGGCTACGCAGAAACAAACTCCCCAAAACGCTTCAGCTACATTGAAACATAACCAACGTGACAATGACATTATCAAATATTTCTGGGTTGGAGTTGTTTGTACCCTGGAGGAGAATCACTTTGAGGTATTTTTCTGGGATAGCTTGATTTTGCATATCAGGAAGAATTGGTTGAATAAGTCGGTTTATTAAGAGCGATAAGCACTGCGAGTCAGGGAAACGGAGTTGAAAACAATGTTTGAGGAATTTCAGCACCACGTCTCCAGAACATCCAGGTTGAATTCAAACAAACGAGGAAACTCCAGGCTTTGGTACTGCTGGATCAGTTCAGCTCTGTGTGGTCACCTTTAGTGCACGTTTCAGCAGTGTGGCAGTAAATTTCCTCTGCACGTGCACTGATGTGTGTGTGGGAGGGAGAGGGAGAGGAAGGAGTTGTAAAATAGGATTCACCCTACCAACAGCCCTTTGGCATGAAAGATGGTTTGACTGAAAATGGATGTCTTCATGTCAGCTTACGGAACGCACAATACACTAAAACATACACACATTCTCATTCTGTACATCCTCCAACTGAGATAGATCAGTGGATATATGCCACCGCGTCACTTTGAGCTACTCTGACAAACCTCATCCCAGAGATCACTGAGGCATAAGCCCCCACATCAGATCTACCCAGCAACACTTCAGATACCCACAAACCTTACAAATGAAACTTGTCTTTCTTTGAGAAAGCAAGGAGAGCTGAATAAGACATGAGAGGAGGTGAAGGAACAATACAGAGCGGAGACAGACTGGAACACGAGAAAAGCAAGGATGGCACAGTTGTTTTTGCTCTGTCCATGAACATGAAGTAATGAGAGGGGAGTAAAATTGCTTTCGGGCTACAAAAGCGGTGAGGCGTTCAGTGCACACACACTCACACACACACATGCTCGTAGTCACGCAGAGCCGGGCTCTCCGGCGACCGCCTCTGCAGGGGAGCCAGACGCAGGGCGAGCCCTGTGAGACGGGGTGTGTGTGTCTGGGCCGGTGTGGGTTCACTGCAGGATGGGGAGGATCCCTCCAACAAGGGAATCACACCAGAGATAACACAGGGATAATATCAACTGTTTTTAGTAGACACTAATTTATTTGTGATGTTAACATCTCTATTGATTAAGTCATATTCTTCTGTTTTGTCAGACAGACGGGGGGAATAAAATGTACAGACCTGACCTACATGTTTTATGTGTTTCGAAGAACGCACATGCACATGAAGTTGTATGTGTGTGTCACACATTATAAGTGTACGTGTGTGTGACACACTGTCACACATACAAAAAAAACACACAATGCGCACTCTGTGTTCTTACTTACTTCCCTAGATTTACTCCTAGAAACATGTAAACACGACGGGAGACACCCAAACAGGCTTGAGGGAAATGGGTTACTGTAAGAGGCTTAGACAGAGTGTGTGTGTGTCGGTGTGTGTGTGTGAGTGTTTGGTTTCACACGGCTGACTGCATTGGAATAATGGTCCAGTTGGTGAGACCGCATTCACTCTAATGTGTGTGAGTTTGAGTATTAATGCAGGGGTATTACAGTTGCGTGCACGTGTGTGTGTGTGTATGTGTGCGCACGTATGATATCTTAAAGCTCTCCATAACTGTTAGACCACCAATTCCTAATTTTGTCAGCAGGCATGTCTGTCTTTCTGTCTCTCTAATATTCTCTCTTGCCCTCTCGTGCCTGCTCATTTTTCTGAAAGATTAAACCGGGGTTGAGGCTTTTCTACCATTTTCTTTCCTGGAGCTGCTGGAAAAGATTCTGGGCTCAGGGTTTATTACAATCCCTGACTAAAATGATAAAGTAGCAATACTTTGAAGGTGTTCATTCAGATGTTGTATTTGTCGAAAAGAGAAGAAAGAAAGAAATAGACATGGCACTAAATGGATTCATAGATGATTGTGTGATAGTAAATGTGTGATAATCTTTTGAATATTTTTACGTATCAACTCGATGAAAAATATAACTAAATCATGAAATAGATATATAAAGAAAAAAAGCTGCTTTGTAGCAACAACACTGGCTTCTGTGACCACTGATGTGGAAAATAACTCCTTATTTCCTTTTTATTGAAGATTTTTTAACTTCTTGGATTAGAAGCTGACGGTCTTTTTAAAAATCTTTTTTGATAATTTCAAACCAATAATTCCTATCAAACATATACAATCTGTTCGCAGGCCTTGTCATCGAGTTTATATGTCTTTCTTGAGGAAAAGTTTGAACGATTTTTTGTTTTAATTCCTTATTTGGCCCTTTAACAAACAATATTAAAAAAAAATACAAATAATTAATCATTTATTAACATGTGGTTAGTCTTCTGCCTGCTGTTTTCAGGTACAACTGATTGTTTAAAACAGGGTTTTGAGCAAAGCTTTTACCATTTAAAGATGCAAAACATCTGAGATGCAAAACATTTCAGAAATCATATTTATTAAATATGGCACATATTGCATTATAGGGTTAACGGCAGACTCATTTGAATATTCCCATGTACAGATATTTCCTAAATGGAAGGTGATTCTTTAATAGCTTGCTTTTCACAACCCAAATTACTATTGGTAGATGTTCAAAGTAATTGTTCAGGATAAAAAAAACAATGTAGATGGTCAGGTTAACATGTTAACAAGGGGAAATGACAAACCCTATCAGAAAATAAACTTCAGTGTAGGAATACATTTCCCTTTCAGATAATGAAGGACATGCATCCACCCACAAGATCTGTGGAAGTACAGCACAGATATATTATGTTTTTACAACAATTACCTTCTCAATAGTTGCCTGACTCATTTTCCTTTCTAAATATAGAGACACAGGTCACATCTGGCTATGTGATGATGGCATTTGATATGTTGTTACTGCATCACATCACTGATGTGCAACGTCTCGCTGCATTTAAGTGATGTGACTGTTCAATGCTGTTGATCTGACGGCAGATATTCTGGTTTGTTCCGTGTAAGTCAAGCTTTTTCCACAAAATGTCATAATAGAGATGTGTTGCCATCTCACTGTTTGCAACAACAGACTGTACCTTTGCAAGGGTAGTGAACCAAGACCAGGAATACCTTCAGTCAGCTTTAAATTAGGAACCTACCTCCACAAAAAGCAGCTCATCTGGCCTACTACCCAGAAAAATTACATTATAGTATTTTGGCATTTTTGTTGGAGTCATGTTTTTCTAAACTTTTTTTTTCGAGAATATTTAAAAACCAAGAGCAAACAGTATACATATTGTCTTTAATATATGTATCTTATCACATGCTTTGTTTTGTTTTTTACCAGGTTCCGACTGTTCCCGTAACTTTACCAGTCCCTCGGATCTCATTGAGTCCCCAGGCTTCCCTGACAAATATCCCCACAACCTGGAGTGCTCCTTCATCATCGTTGTCCCGTCCAGCATGGACGTCACGCTCACCTTCCTCACCTTTGACCTGGAGAATGATCCCCTTCAAGGTGGAGATGGAGAATGCAAGTATGACTGGCTGGAAGTGTGGGACGGGCTCCCAGGAGGTACAGCATCTCCTTCTTCTTTTGTTCTTGCTCATATAATCACCACATTATGTGTGCGTAAGTGTGGCGTTCATGGTTCACCTGTACGGTGGACAATTGTACACCCATCCCTGTCAATAGCCATTTCTGTTGAGGGTGAGGAGCAGAAACTATTTGAGCAGCTATGAGTGAGTAGATGAAAGCTGAGCTCATAGGCAGAGGGCTGGCACCTACAGTGGAAAAACAACAGAAGTTTTAGAGGGGAAAGTAAAATAGAATTTGCTGAGCGGAGGGAGAAGAGACTGGAGGGGAGGCAAAGAACACTAGAAGGATAAGATATTTCGAGACTAGCTTCTGGAAATGTTGAAAGAGTTAGAAAGAGAATTCAGCCTCCGGTCTAAATCAAGCAATGGCAAGGTAGTGAAAAAAAGTAGAGCAATAGAAGGGTGGCGAAAAGTCCTCAGCCGCTCAGAAGACGAAAAAAAAAGCAGAAGATTTTGGCATGAAGATACGGTAAAGACTAGATTTGTGTTCTTCAAGGAAAGAAAAAGTTCTGCTTGTTATGAACTTAACTGTTACAGAATGAGAAAATAGATATTACAAACACAGCTGTTCCACAATACTCTGAAAAAGTATAAATGAACGTGGAGTAAAATGAGAAAGAAAGACAAGAAAAAAGACTATTAAATGTAGTGGTAGGTGGGATAATACAAATGGAAATGACCAAGATAAGCATTCAAAATTAACTATTAGTTTTAATCTTTGCATTCGTTATCGAATTTTCAACAGGAAGAATAATACAAAGTCTAGCACAAAAAGACAAAGCCTGATTATGTTTAAGTTAAAGAGGTAGTCAAGAAGAGAGATGCTGAGACATGATGGGTTTGGCAGTTAAATCTGTCTCCAGATTAAAGGGAGGAGAAAGGCAGGCGAGGGAATCCAGTTTTACCTTGATTAGGCAACAAATCAAAGAAGGAAAACTCAATACTTGGGCTAAAATGGGGTTTCTTCATTTTCTCCAATGCACATGCTTGTGAATAGGTGTGCTAAGTTTGTATATCCTCTGATAAACTGACTCTCAGTCATTTATCCACATTCAGCATCATTAAGGAAATGAGACAAAATAATAAACCTTACAACACATTACTTTTGTTCTAAGCTGCTCCTCCTTAGTGTTTCCCTTCTCCTTGCCATCATCAAAAATAGAGTTATTGCCATTATATACTCAAGAGGCCCATTTCAAATATCCGTGCATTCCAGAAGGGAGGGAAAAAAGTCAATGACACAGATCGATCGCTGGCTATTTACTCCTTCCCTCCTCCGCAGGCCTCTTATGTGTATATCTCTTTGTGTAAGACAGGAGCTGAGAGTTTGCACAAATGTACTGTGCTCCCACTTCCTCACACACAGATGGACGACACACACACGCACACACACACACACACACCTGGGGCTAAATCCCAATCATATGTTTGTGTTGACATATTGACAGCTTGTGATACAGTGGGCTATTAAAGAGGAAGACAGTAGAGGAATCACTTAGATCCTTTGATTTACACATACATACGTGTGCAGTGTACAGTATGAAGTCTGTGTTGTAAAACCAGGTTCAGTCCAGAGACAGAGAGGGTAGATGGAGGCCGGTGATAAGCAGATGTCAGGGGAGGAGGGAGTGGTAGAGATAATAAATGAAAGGGAAGCAACAGAGGATAGAAATCAACTAAATTTAGGGTTAACAGATGATGTGATTGACAAATGGGTTGATGAATGGTTTTAAAAGCTGCTTTAAGATTTTTCCTCAAAATGCTGGCTAATCTAAAAAATCTTGTGTGGCTGACAGTGGGTCCCCTGATTGGTCGATACTGCGGGACCAGGGTTCCTCCAGAGATCCAGTCATCCACTGGAATTCTGTCTCTGGCTTTCCACACGGACATGGCCGTGGCCAAGGACGGCTTCTCAGCTCGATACAACATGACGCATAAGGAAGTCAAAGAGCGTAAGTGGAATCCAGCAACGTGTGTGTGTGTGTGTGTGTGTGTGTGTGTGTGTGTGTGTCTGTGTGCGATTAGGGTCAGTCCGAACCTCTTTGACCCCACCTCCGCCTCTATTGCAGGGTTCCACTGTAGTTACGCATTCGGTATGGAGTCGGGAAAGATCACAGACGAGCAGATCTCTGCCTCGTCCAGCTTTTATGATGGACACTGGATGCCACGTCAGGCCCGGCTCAACTACAACGACAACGGGTGGACACCCAAGGAGGACAGCAACAGGGAGTACATTCAGGTACAAGGAAAAGGTTCCTCACACCCGTGCTTAGGTTAGATCCAGTTATTAGAGCTTAACTTGTTTATTTTATCAGATTGTGGCACAAATTCAAAACCCCTAAACTTACGTTCTGATTTGTTAAAACAGATGATTCTGCCTTAAAAAGAAATAGACAGGGTTTTTTTGTTGACATTACAAATCTACCGCAAAATGTGTGTCTGTATGTGTGTCTATATGTGGGGCGGCGAGCCAGAAGAAAGTGGGTGAGAGGAGTGGCACTTGTTTCCTGCATTCTATCACGGTGCCAGCTGTGTACCATCCTTGAGTTGAGCTGGAGTTATGAGGCTGTGAGAGAGAGAGTGAAGGCGAGGCCGGTCAGCCGGCCAGAGAGGCACTGTCCAGTCAGAGACTCTGTAAACAGCAGATTATCTCATTGGTTGTCACATTCTGGCAGTTTCACAGAGTTAGCCCGCCGCTTAAGCACAGGGGGATTGGTTTTGTTTCAGGTGGCTTGCTTGCAGTTCTTTTAGTGCTTTAAAAGGGAAAGACATGGCAGCGTTTGTTTAATATGGCGGCGATTTTATAAACACTGTAAAGCACTCACCGATCCTTTTAGATTTAGAGGCAGAGTTTGAGAGCCAGCAGCTATATGTTATCAACAGCAGGCATTACACAAAGGCCTGCGATCTGTTCACTTCCTTTTACGGAAAGTAGTTTTCAGCAGTCCATGGTCAACATCTAAAACACATTTTCGATTGACAAGCAGCTCATTTTCCCTCGGCAGCATCGTCTGGTTAAACCGTGAGTTTAGCTCGCGTTTGTCAGATTTCCAGATATGTTCCAGGTGTGTTTTAGGTCTTTTAAAATGAATGCAGACTGTTTTAATGAGAAGCTAAATTAATTAAACCTGAAGTGCTCCAACTGAAGTGACTCGCATTAACAGTCCCACCTCCATTCAAACATCAAAGACTAAAAACACGTCGTCAGGAAGGGCTGGGTTTAGCCCTTTCTGCCATGGGCCAGAAATGATATACGATTTTTTACCAACATGTATTCTTCACCTTCCCTTCATAAATAAAAGTAGCTTTTCCTCCTATTTAAAATCTTTTGTGAATTACTGGCGGGGAATAACTCACATGTGCAACTTTACAGAACAATTGTCACCACTTTGCTGGTTGTCCTGGTTGGATGGAAAAATTTGAAATCAAGCTGCTCCAGTTGGGTTCAAAAGCATCACAGATTTAGGATTAAAAAAGCATATCAACACAATGGAATTGAAAACAAAATTATTTCAATTGTGTCTGTTTTATACCTAACAGATTGATGTAATTCTTCTCTGGTGGCCGTGCACGGCTGAGTTTTGAGTAACTGGCGCCCATTAAGTTTTTCCACTTGCAGTCACTTTCAGCTTTCAGACTCTCCTTCTAAGAAATTCCTGATTTTAAAATTGTAGCATTATCTAATAAAATAAGCATTTGAATAACTTGAAGATAATGTGTTGATTCCATCAAATGAAGTAAGATTATCTTCAGTGGGATAAGTTCGGATGTTTTCTCACACAGCTCATGGGAGCAGTTGTCCCTGCTGTGTGTATGTAAGACTGCAGGCTAAATGGCCAAATTGAGCTGTAACTCATGTTTGAGTCAGTGTGTATGTAGCCATGCTCATGGGCTGTCATATACAGATCTGGACTAAATACAGTCTTTCAAACCCAGGCTCTGGCCCAGAAAAACACATAAGGGACTGTAGCCAAGAAGCAGCACAATGGCCCCATCAGGCCAGAGTCCCTTCAGTCTCCCACTTCCTCTCTTCCCTAACCCCTCCAGCTGACAGCTCTCTCCCCTTCAGTACACTCATAAAGTTGGATGACAAAAAAATGTTTTTCATTTTTTGTTTTTAGCAAAAATCAGTGTTTGGAAGATTTTTGCCTCATTCGAATTTCTGAAATCTGTTTGGCTTTTGTGGTCACGTGACACTTCCGATGGCATAAAAGAGGCATCCCAGTCAACTGGAAATGTAGCCCCAGTTCCTTTCATGTTGTATTTCCCCCCCTATCCACTCCCTGGTGTTGGAGTTGCTGTCTTCTGTTGAGACTCTCAGCTGTTTCTTTGTGTTAACACCTAACAGAGAACAAGAGCCCCTACGTGTGTGTCTTTGTGTGTAATAGCTGCTGTCTTGACAAGCAGCTGTCATAAATGCCAACATGCCTCTCCCTCTTGCATCTTGCACCCTGAGGTGTCTTATAACTTAGTGTGTGTGTGTGTGTGTGTGTGTGTGTGTGTGCTGACCTCAGTTTGCAGCTATGTATGTTTGGCCATGGTGGTTCCAGAGTCATATGTATGGTTTAAATCTGTCCAGGCTCTTCTGATTTGATTTGTTTATCTCCTCTATTCTGTTCTATTTTGGTCCAGTGAGGTGTGCTGCAGATTGATGGTGCCAGCTTTGGTGGCTCTGTTGTTGTAACAGTTCTGTGATTGATGAGTAATCTTCCCAGGGAAAGCTCACTTAGCATCTCTCTCTTTTATTTATCCTTCACTTCCTTCCTCTTCTTCCTTTTTCTTGTCTTTCTACCTCACTCCGTATGCCTTCCGTGTCGCATCTCCTCATCTGTTTCACTCCTTGGCTCTGTACTATTGATTAGTTGTCTCGGTGGATCTCTTGCTCACTCCACCAGTGCGTGCACGTGCGTGTGTGTTGGGAGCACGCTCGCCTCGCTGACAGATAACAAATTCAGCATTTTCCCTCCGCCTGCGTTTTGTACTTTTACCTTTAGGGACTTACAGTTTACAGGCTCTGTCAGATTAATCAGAGTCTTAACAGCAATGGGGGAGAATAAATGTTATGACCTTAAGTAGAATATGTCTAATGCACTGATCTCTATTTATCTGTGTTGAATTGAATTGAGCTGAAAACATGTGAAATACTCATATTTCTAGATGTCACAGAGAGAAGTATCAGATTGTTCAGTTTTACGACCACCAAATGGATACCTGTTTAAATCCGAAGTCTTAATGCTGCATAATGAGCCCCACAACATCTAAACAAGTGTATTCATAACCAGGATAGGGAGGTGATTATTGTTATTCTGTGTGAGGAAGAAAAACAAACCTCCGATCTTTACTATTGATCTGCTGGGATGCAGAAGAAAAAAAAAACACATCGGGAAAGACGCCAGATGCATATTTGCATGGATTGATTAATCTATCACTACTATTTAAGTTTCTACTTTTAAAGAACCTTTAAAGTAAAGGCTGTCTCAGATTTCGAAAGCTTTGAGGTGACCCAAGAAAAAATGTATCTAGTTTTTGGAAGAAAAGAATCACCTTCTCGTTCTTCTATCTATGTTCAACACATTCATTCCATTCTGTTAAATCATGAATTTTCTTTTAGTTTATTTACTTTAGTTTCCACTCATCATAGATTTCAGACTCAGGTCACTTTTGGATACAAATCTGAATCAGAATCGTTTTCTCTAGTTTTGGTGAATGGTTGAGCTAAAGGTCTCTCTCTTCACCAACAGGTGGATCTCCATACCCTCAAGGTGATCACAGGCATCTCCACTCAGGGTGCCATCTCAAAGGAAACTCAGAAGATCTACTATGTCACCACCTTCAAGCTGGAGGTCAGCACTAACGGAGAGGACTGGATGGTCTACAGACACGGCAAGAACCACAAGGCAGGCATAACACACATGGTAGACATTGGAAAATAATCAAACTTGCATTCACATGGGAAGAGCTGGGGACGGAGTAACTGGAGCCAGAGTTTGCAATAAACCCAAAATTCAACCGGGGTCTACAGTTACAGCTGTTTGGTTGTGATTTAGTGGCCCTGATTTAGAGGTTTATTATGAAAACTCTGTGAAAGCACTTCTCCAAGCTTAAGTGGCACCGTGCATCACATGGAAGCTCATTTGTGCTTCACTTTCTGCTTTTTCACGTCACATCTGTTTTCGTTCACTTTCTGGTCGGAGCTCTGCTAAATGTTGCCGTGATCAAGCAGCTGACTGAGCTGTTCTCTCTGAGGTGTTGAGGCACAATATGTGGTCGGCCAGCGAGCTGCAGTCTTCGAGGCTCCAGGTGGAAATGAAGTAAACTGCATTGAGCGTCTTAATGGCTGAAACAGCAATTAAAGTAGTGGAGCATTCCAGCAGCTGTGGTTGCTTTTTCCATCACAGCAGTTCTCCCCATGCATTGTGGGCACACATGTTTCTCCTGTGGTCTAGCGCCACGTCTAGCTTTGAGCTATAAACTCTTATTTCCTTAATGAACACTAATGCATGCACACATTTACAGATGTGGGCATTATGCTCTGAAAGTTTAAGTAAAGACAAATCCTGCCCAAGAAAGTGAAACATGGCTGCTTTAAATGTGAGATCTCACTTAAACAGCAACATTTTTCAATATGATTTGATTGTAAAAGCCTAGACTGTAAATTTTTAATAGAGGTTCAGCACAGATGCTATGGTTATTTGAAATTATGTCACACCACCCAATATTTAAAGATTAAGTGAGGTTTGGAAGAAAATATTGAGGTACAACAGCAATAATTTCATCAGGTTTTGGTTTTAAAAGGAGTTATTCCACTTTTGAACACCAAGCTCTTCTTATCAGCAGACTTTTTTAAAGAGCAACCAAACCCCATTACTCTTCGATTACTGACTTTTCAGGTATTAGCTTGATTATTATTTTTAGAGATTTTAATTAACTCATTGACAATCAATCTGACACTTGCCTGGTAAGGTTTAAGAGTACATTACCGAACCAAGTCACAAAACCACGCTTTGGACCTGTGGCCTCAATAATCTGTGTTTCTTCTGTCACAGATGTAGTTTTGCAGACCATTCCTTCATTATTTGTTTTACCATAAGCAATTTTGTTCACTCTGAAGTGGCTGCCCATTTTACGCACCTTTTACAGAATAGTTAACCTCACATTTTACATGCTTCCTGTGATTTTTCTTGTTGATAATTTCTAAAGTAAACTCCGGTCTACCCTAGATCCCATTGCTCCTCTGAGAATAAAAAAAAGGTTCAGAAAAAAGAAAAATAAACTACCAAGGAAAGATGACAAAATAAGGAAATGAAGCAGAAAGTGGAGTAGCTGAAAAAAAGTGCAGGAAGAATAAAGTATCCACATTTTTGAGGAGCATCTCTGCGTGGCCTGAATGGCTAGCTTGAGCTGAGATAATTATTGTGCAGTGGAAGGGGCACTTTGAGGAACTCCTCAGTCTGGTCAGCATGTTCTCCAGTCAGAAGACAGAGTCATGACTCATGCTGACACTAGACCTCAGTAAGAACAAAATCCAATATGCAGAGCAGACAAATGACCAGTGTTTCAAAATTTGTTGCCTGTCACAACCCTTAATACCCTATAAATCCCAAATAACCCTGGAAAGCCTCCGCGACCTGCATATCAAGAGACACAGAGAGGAGGGTGTGTCAGCAGATAAATACGTGAGGAGAATGGCACTAGAATAAATTAGTAGCAGCTTCTGGTTGAACCCACACATAGTAAACCATCAGACACACTGAAACCAAATGGTTAGTGATCTCTGAGCTGTTTTGCTCCCTAGTGTGTCAGTCTGTAATCTGACAGTTCAGATCCGTAGTTCAATTCACTGCTAATCTGCTTTAATGATGTAATAGAAGCTAACATTAATTAGCTTTTTGTGTTGTGTTCTGTCCTGAGTTACAGCTATAACTCGTTGCTGAATCCTGTCCGTTGTCTGTTCACTAGATATTACACATTTACACATTCCTTTTTCATTAAAACTATCATTCATTTTGCTAAATTTCAAAGTTTCTCAAAATGTCTTTGTCCATCAGTTTCTCCATCTCCTCCACTCATTCATTCTTTTCCTCTTACAATTTTCCCATTTCTCTTTTAAATACTCAATCATTTATTTGTTTCTTTCTCTTGACTCTGAAAAAGTTTTCATGAAATATGCGGACATGTTTATGCACTTTAAACAAAAGAGTTTTTGTGACTGCCAAAGTAATTCTATTATGTGTGGCAAGCTGGAAATGACTGAATTAGTGTTTTATTAGCAGGAGCTATTAAAGGACAATAAAATAGAATGACCACATGGACAGAAAAAGAACATGTCATTGTGGTTGCGTTGGCTGAAAACACCATGTACAAAAGACTGTAGCTCTGCAATTATAACACTGGGATATAGACAGATGTGTGGTGACAGCTACTTCTGTGTTATTCCGTTTTTCTATTTGTCCCAGATGAGTAACTTTTAATGTAGCTGCCACTGTTCACACACTCGTACTACCGCCTCTACTCACTGAGACATCTGGGAGCCAGCCCATCAGGGCGATGGTGTTGTGTGAAAGCATCCAATTGATCTGTGATACGTTAATGTCTTTAATTCAGTGTTGTGATCCAGATGGAACTTTAGGAATTCATGTCAATGTACTGAAACTTTATGAGGAGAAGGTAATATCCATCAATTAATATTCTTGTGCTGAGTCGGCTGGCAGGAGCAGCTGCTGAAGTAGGGAAGCCAAGACTTCCCTCTCCCCAGACCCATCTACAAGCTCCTCCGTGGGGATTTAGAGGCTTTCCCAGGCCAGCCGAGAGACATAGTCCCTCCATTGTGCCCTGGGCCCTCCCTGGGGTCGTCTCGCAGTAGGACAGGCCTAGGACACCTCACCAGCATCCTGACCAGATTTTCAAGCCACCTCATCTGGTTCCTCTCATTGTGGAGGTGCACCGCTCTACTTTAAACCCCTCCCAGATGATTAAGCTTTTCGGCCCTTTTTTTCTTAGGGAGAGCTCGGCCAGCCATCAAGAAGACTGATTTTAGCCACTCCTATCAGCGGACTCATTCTCTATAGTTCATGACCATAGATAAGGGCAGGAAGGTAGATAGACCAGTAAAGGGAGAGCTTCCCAACCCAAAGAGGAAACTCCATCTTTTTCTGGCTGAGGACCATTTCCTCAGATTTGAAGGCGAGCAACGAGAGTTCAGCCACGTTAAAGCCAACAGAACTACATCATCTACAAAAAGGAAAGATCCAATCCTGCGGACATCAAACCAAATCCCCTCAATGCCTTGGCTGTGCTTAGAAAACCTGTCCATAAAGAATCAAGGCCTCGGCGAAGTCCAACTCTCTCTGGGAATGAATCCGACTTACTGCATGCAAACGGTGGCACTGGTCATACAGGGACTGGACAGCTTGAACAAGTGGGTCTTGTACTCCACGCTAACAGAGCACTGGTCACTATGGACAATCTATGACAAGCACATCAATAACAAACAAACACTCAGGTTCAGATCAGGGGGGCCATTCCTCACAATCACCCCTCCAGGTCACACTGTCATTGCCCACATGAGCATTGAAGTCCCCCGGTAGAATGAGTCACTGGGAGGAATGCTCTCCAACGCTATTCCAGGGACTTCAAAAATGGTTGGTCCTATGTCAAAATCGAGGGAGGCTATCCTTGTTCACCAGAGAGGTGATGTTCCACATCCCCTTGAGCCAGGGTCCCTGTCTCAGATGCCACCCAGCTCACACTACACCCAATCCTTATGGACCTTCCAGCAGGAGGGGGTTCTACTAGAGGGGGGAACCAGTGTTGTCCTTTCGGGCAAAGCCCTACCAGGCTCCATGGGCAAAGGCCCGGCCACCAGATGCTCACCGCCGTGCCCCAACTCCAGGCATGAATCCAGAGGGGGGCCCCGGTGACCCACATCTGGGTGAGAGAAAGTATGCTCCAATGTTTTTATAGTGCATAGCAGTTTTCTGGAAGGTAACATAATTTGCTCCAATGAAGCACTGAAATAATATACCAGAAAGGCAGAGCGGTAAAACAGAGATGAGAGGGACACTCATGCTAATCTCAGTGGGTGTTTCATGTTTTCCTAATACCCACATTCAACGGGAAGCAGCCAGCCAGTCAATGCCATATCGTTCAATTTCTCACGTGAAGGTGTAGTATACCAAGATTAAAATGTTTTACAATGTATGTACGACCTCAATAACTCAAGATTTTGTGACTCAAAATGTTATGGTAGGTTGTGTATGTGACAGAGCAAAAGCACAGATTCTTAGCGACCTGCGGTCTTGTGTTGCGAAATGATGTTGATTCACTTTCAGTGTGTGTTGTGTTAGACCTAGATTTAAGTTTGATGTGTTACAAATGTGGCTACGTATCCGTCCGAATTGCTGCTTGTAGACCTGACAGTGAGTATTGAAATCTTGGAGCTCAGCCAAGGACCACAATCTCTTATTCCCACTCTAACCAATGGGACACATGAAGGAACATATCAAAGGTTTGACAAAATTTGCAAGTACAGAAAAAATAACAAACAAGTTTAAAAAGTTGTGCAATAAAGTGATGGTGAGGAGAAACTAAGCACTACACAGGGAGAAAGAGAGATTGAAACCAGAACAAGAAAAGCAAGGTTCATAGGGGAAGAGGTGAAAGAAGGAAAGAAGCTGACAAGGGCAAGATATGTTCTTAGGGGAATCACAGAGTGAAAGAGTGAGAATTGGATGGATGACTTTAAGCAAGAAAGAGAGGGGAGTAATGAGAATAACAGATATGGGTGTTGACCAGAAATCCCTCTGGATAGATCAGAGGTCTTAGCAACACAGTCTGGAAGGATGTCAGGAGGGGGGAAAGAAAATAAAACGCCAAAGTACAGGCAGGAAGGTTACAAGATGAGGGGAAGAGAGAAGGAGTTGAGCAGTTGAAGGACAGGCGGATAAATAAGTCTGATAGTTGAAGACAGGAAAGCTTGGAGGATAAAAGAAATAGGAGACAAAAAGGATATAATAACGGTGCTGTGTTACTTTTGGTTCCAGAGATTTGTACATTGTCCTGTTACTCATTCAAACACATGTACACGCTCTTGGATTCAGCTGCCAAAGCTCCATATGTCTGCATTTGCTTGGTTGTAAAGAAATGAAAGTTAATATAAGACAGTTTCTTACTTCATAAGTCAATGCACAAACACACAGAAAGCACATTCAGCACATACCTTTGTATAATTTATGATATTTGGCTCACTTGACTGACTATGGCCCTGCAGGTTGACAACAAGGCTGATCATACACACAAGCACAAAATGTTATTAAAGAGTTTATATTTTAAGGTCTTTTGAAAAATATGATTCCAGCTTTTTTTGTAGCAACTGGCAAGTTCTATTGTACTGGGATGAATACATTTTGAACAAAATATATCCAAAGTACTGCAACAGAAAATATATATTGGAGTTGACAATGTGTATATAAAAGAAAGCATATTGAAATACGGCAGGGTTCTAGATCCGTCTTCTACTCTGGCTTGTCCTGCTCCTAATTCCTGCAGTGCTGGAGGTTATGTCAGCTGACTCCAGGGGAGGGACATGTCAGACCCCTGACAGGTCGCCACTCTCTCAGGGCGCAGACATGGGCAGCCATGCATGCACGGCTCCTTCTGGCTGGTGGAGATTCACAGTTTGCTGATGAGGCCTGTGTTTGCACTGAGATGGGGGCAACCAAAAACTCACTCGGGACACAGCAGGGACTTGAACAAGTACACAGGTTTCAGCAGCCACTGTTTTGCCCAATAATGACAAAATGATGCAGTACATTTCAACTTTCTTTTTTAAATGAAATCAATGATTCTTCATGGTTTGCAGTATTAATATGAACTGCTGTTTTTAGACTCCATGCTGTTGCAGTATGCTACATATCTACAGGTGTGAGCATCAGGTTATGGGAAAGCTACACGGGTTAGAGTTGTGTGTGGGTGTGTGATGCTTGAGTAATAATTTTTTTTTGTGACTTGTTTGTAAAATTTGTGTTGGCAGTGAATGGTAACAGTACATGAAACGGCAGCTCAAACTTCAGCTCTGCTTTGTGACCCTGAACACAGTAGATAATTGACTGAATTTAATCTCAGATGAGCCATGTATACAGACCCCTGAAGCCTCTGGTGCACACTAGTAGTCTACAAACAAACCCTTCACTGGAGATGTTAAGAGCCGGTGAGGGACGGCAACAAATATAGATTTGCTTACAAATGTACATGTGCAGAAAAACTCATTACAGTATGTACACCGTTACAAAGTTATCTATGTGCCAAGAAAATGTTTCTGTCTGCAACAGGGGAAATCAGAAAGCACCCGCCAGCCCGCAAATCCTCAGAGCACAACCTAATAATTACACTTTTACACACACACACACACTTGTAATTACAGGCAGCTACCACAACCCCATTAACTCCTGTAGGGCCTTGAGGCATTTTTCTATCATTTAGGTGGTCACGGTTTCCAGCGTGAGGCCTCTGTGGGGACATGAGGTCACCCAGGCTGACTTTGTGTTGTTCAACACCGGGTCGCGGGTCAATTCCCAGCTGGCTCGACGGCTTGCTGCTGTTCCCGAAAATCCGACTCCCTTCATCCATATTTTGTCACCCCTGATGGGTCTGCTGTTTAATGGATCGTGAACTGGAGGAAAGCAACGAATTCGCACACACGTGCACACACATTGATTCACACAGCGCTGAAACAAAACACCTATGAATGCGTATCCAAGCAAGTAATTGCAAGGCCTTGGGCTTTATTAAATAAGGTTCACTGCTCTCTGAAATAAACACACTATGCTGGGTTATCAGCACTAATGCAACGTAATAGAAAGGGATTTGTAAAAAGAAGCCGTCTATCATGGCAGTGTGACAGAGCGAGAGATAGAAATGTTGAAGAGAAGGACAGAGGAGGGGAGAAGTGATAGGGAGAAAAGTGGAAGCCAAGCTGTGTTTTCCTGTGGAGAGCTCGACGGAGATGGCTGCTGGAAGGAGAGCGACTGGGAGGGGGAGACGTGACACTCTGTCAGAGAGACAGAGATATGAAGTCTCCACGTCAGGAGACAAAAGGAGTGCTTGTGGCTGTCTGTTCGCATTTGATTTACTTTTACTTTTATCTGTCATTGTGTGTATTTTCACAGGAAATTATTTTCCGTGTGTGTACATAGTGATGAGGGCAGGGTCGCATAAATTGTCTGTGTGTTAAAGATCGTCGTGTTAGGATATAGTTTCACATTGTGTGTTTGGATTTTAAGCACTGAGCAGTGACAGAGTGTTTATCTTTGCAATCAGATTGTGAAGAATTAAAGAAGTTTCCCTGCATGTTGGTGCGTGTGTGTGTGTGTGTGTGTGGATTGAATTGAGTCAAGAGGACATGAGAAGAGGGTTCTCCTCCACATACTTGTGTATTTGATTAATTGCTCACTGCATGTTTCTCTGTGTAAGTAAATCTTAGCTATAATTCTTTGCTCTGTGAAAAGGCCTATTTTTGGTTTTTACTGTTCTAAATGAAAGAGAAGTGCTTCTTTGTTGTCCCTGAAACTAATCTGACATTCTACTTGAGAACATTTAGCATTAAAAGATATATTGATATCAAATTATTACTTAACGGACAAAGAATAGACGCGTGACAAAGCTGATCTGCTGCTTTAAATGATGGAATAAAGGTCATTCTTTACCATTTTTTAAAGTTACGCCTAACCCTTGATGAGGGTCAGACAGACTGAAAGTCTGTAAATTGAAACTCTGTGGCACCCTTTTTACAAAGAAAAACAAAAAACGTTGTGTTGTATTTCTTCAATAGCTTCTCTGCATTGCAATGTACATTTTACTGGATCTCAAATGTACAGCCCCCACATGGGTTTTACATTTATTTATAATTTCAATTGAAAAATGCATGATTTAATGGCAACAGGGTGGTGTGGTGGGTTCTGGGTTGGAGTCCCGGGGGAACCAGGACCTTTCTGGGTGGAGTCTGCATGTTCTCCTGTGTCTGTGGGTTCTCTCCGGGTTCTCCGGCTTCCTCCCACCGTCCAAAAACCTGCATGTTAGGTTGGTTTTACACTTCAAACTGCCCTTAGTGTGACTGTGTGTGGTTGTTGGTCCTTGTGTGTCTCTGTGTGTCCCTGTGATGGACTGGGGACTGTCCAGGGTGACCCCGCCTCTCCCCATTGACCACTGGGATAGCCTCCAGTCCCCATTAGGGAATAAGCGGTAACGATAATGGATGAATGATTTAATGACTCAGCAATAATTCTTATTTTGGGAGCTCATTCTCCATCCTGGCACAGGTTACAGTGTATTCTAATTTTGTCTCTCTTTTATGCTCTCTGGACAGGTTTTCCATGCTAATACTGACGCCACAGACGTGGTTCTCAACCGGGTCCCGCAGCCCGTCCTGGCCCGCTTTGTGAGAATCAGACCTCAGACGTGGAAGAACGGCATCGCCCTGCGATTCGAGCTCTATGGCTGTCAGATTACAGGTAAGGAAGACTGAGCATCTCCTGTCAGAGTTTCACCGAATATTTCTCTGTAGATAGTCTCCTCTTGGGATTCTTGTGAAAAGAATCCCAATTCTCAAGTTCTCGTGATATACAGACTTTTACAGTCGGTCTGAAGATAGTTCAGAGAAACAAAAATGCCTGTTTGAAAACATTCTCTTGCTAAATGAGAAATATGTTGTTTTCATTTTATGCTTGTTATAACATGAGAAATTATTGTAGAATTTCTTTAATTCTTCTTTAATTCAGTGTATAACTCTCCTCCTACCTTGATCAGTTTCTCTCTTTCACATGCACACAACACACCCACTGTGCACTCACATTCTTGGCCCCGCACTTTCATGTACATATCCCCCTTCTCTTACTCCCACTTCCACAAATACACAAAGAGACACATTCTGTCCTAATAGAATAATCCTGGAGTGTGATGTGTGGGTGATAACATCAGTGAGTAACAGGCTCTCAGCTTTCATCTGCTGCCCCAGCAAACAAACACGATTTCAACCAGCATAATCAGCTCAACACTATAAATAGATCAAACTTAATTATATTGTCCGTGTGTGTGGATCTGTGTTTTTTTTTTTTTTTTAGTAAAAGAGAGGGTTTCAATCCATCCGGGCCGGCCTGGATGTGTGTCTCAGCTCCACTGTATCATTATTAGGTTAGGGCCTCTCTCTGCTGCCATTGTGGCCGCCATTGAGAGGGACAGATAGGCTCTTATCCAGGAGGGCTATTTCAGCACCCACACAAATCACAATCACACCAAACAGTATGATACACGTGCATGTATGTGTGCGTGTGTGTGTGGAGATGATAGAGGCAGACAGGGCGGTGGAATATACCAGGGATCTTGGTTCTATTTAACACCTGAAATTGCAATATGTACCGCCTTATTTTTCTCATCGGGGAGAACACTGTTTACGGAAACGTTTGGCCATTTTTCTGTGTCTTCTCTTTATTTCTGGCACTTTGTCCTTTCTGCAACCCACAAAGCATCAACTTCATATGCAACATCTTGACAAGATCTGCCATATTAGTCTGGCTTTTGATAAGAGTATTGACAGAGTTTGATATTTGAGAGTTAAACAGAGGAAGAACAACCTGTTGTGTTGAACTGAAATAATAAAACAAAGTACTCCGTTTTGTAACTTAAGCAAAGGTACAGATCCCGCTGGTCAAATATTACTCCAGTCAAAGTAGTTCAGTTAAATTAATACTTGAATTAAAGTATAAAAGTATTAAAGGTACTTGAAAATCAGCCCATTTTGTTAGAGTGTAGTTGGATTTAGGAATACATATCACAGGCTAGCTTCCCACTGCAGCCTGAAGTGACCCAAATCCAACTTTCTTTTGCCCTGATGCGACCTGTATCCAATCTTTTCATGACAGTGTGAACAACTCAAATTGGATTTCCTCAAATGTGACCCAGGCCACTTGGATATGTGGCCGCAAATCCGATACATATCCAATCTTGTCAAATGTGACCTCTGTACCATTGGGGCAAAAAAAGGCAGATTTGGGTTGCTTCAGGCTGCAGTGTGATCACAGCCTAAGAGCAACCAATGTACCTGAACAGCAACACCCGTAGGACTAAAATAATTGTCCTTATTTTCTATGCAACTAGTTAAAATCTATTAATGCCACCTACTGTAGAGGAGAGTAGAGAGTTATTTTACAGCGTGTTGTAAAGGCAAACTACATTAACAAACACGACCAACAGAAGTAACGAGCAGTGAAAGCCTTCAGAGGAATGTAGTGTAGAGTCAAATGTATGATTTTTTTTTATTGATAAAATGTGGTGGAGTGAAAGTAATAGCTTTTCCATAAAAAATGCTGCTGAAGTACAAATTCTCAAAAAGTGTACTTAATTACAGTACTTGAATACATTGACTTAGTGACGGCCCAAAACTGGTCGTCTTGCAGAAAAATCGGACCATGTCTGTAATAGTCAGGCTGTATCTTTTCAGTTTCTTTTCACTGCACTTGGGCATGTAGATAAGTGCATGCTCAAACACTCTGCCAGAGGGGGTGTAATAAAGTCCCACAGGCAGACATAAAGCAGTCAGTCAGTGACATGTCATTAACTTAAATCACACTTTTATGTCTCTCCCTTTAATTTTCCTCTCACTTTCTACCTTTCTCTCCTCCATGTCTCACTGTTTTTTCTCCTTACTCAGCCTGCTCCCCCTCTGTCCTTCCCTCGCCTCTGCCGACAGCCTCCATTCCCACCTTCCCTCCACTTCTCCCTCATCTTTCTTTTTTTCCATCACATTCCTTAAATCTTATGGAGCCCCCCCTCATTCAGAAGCTTTTCCATCCTCCATCACTTTAATCTCATCTTATTTTAGAGTTCTCGCACTTTCTCGATATTTTATTTTATTATTTCTTGATTATTTTCAGCGTCTCTATAGTTTTGTTTCTTTCTGGCTGGGTTTATTAGGCGAGTGTGTCCGGCTGTATAAAGCAGGTAGTGATCTGGTTATCAGAGCAGCTCAGTAGGAGTTGCAGATCCCTCCTGTGTGGGTGCCACATGACAGAGTGTACGGAGAAGAGAAGGGGGTAGGTTTTGTGTTGGAGGACTACTCTGCCGTAATGCTCTTTGTGTGAATAGGTGTGATTTGGAGAGCTCTCATGCTTTTGTGTAATATCAGACTATTTCTGCAGGGATATGAAAGGGAGTATATTCTTGTCGATTCCCACTGCACTTCTGCACTGAAAGGGCTGCTGGAGAGCAACTCGCTCCGGTGTAAAATAAAGCCCTGGTAGTTTTTCCTGTGGCTGATAAGTTTCATTGAATGTTGGAGAGTTTGAAGGAGCACACAGAGTGTGCCTCTGGCTGCCGTTGTTTATGGCTGATGCATTATTCACTATACCAAGGAACTGTTCCAGACGTCACGGCATGAAACATTCATCCCCTGGAAGACCTAAAGAATGTCACCATCAATCACCCTCAGCCTGGGCTGTCGGTCACTCTTTCTCTCTGCCTGCCTCTGTTTTTACCTGGATTCATTCTCTCTTTTCCCCCTCTGTCTTCTCAGTCTTCCCTTTAGACTCTTGTCTATCCGCTTATCTCCTCGTGATCCTTTCACTGCTCTTCCTCACTTTACTATATTTCTTCTACCTCTGACTTTAACTCTTCCCTTCACTCTGAACAAAAAAAGTGGCCGTGCTCTTCTTGTTTTAATCATTTTTAATGGTGATGCTATGTTTTGATGCTTGTTGGACTAAATTCTAATGTTGTTGTAATGAACAACCTTCCTTAATCTGCCACATGCTCTTTCTTAGTTTTTTTTGGCTCAATACCCAATGCACAATCCTTGGTTAAAGATATTAATTTATTTTGCAGCAGCATTAAGAAGAAATAATGATATAAAGTGAAGGACACACTTTCTGTGTCACAATCAAAGTCAGACCAAACACTGCCATCATTTTGTTTCCATATTTGAACGTTTCTTGTAGAAAGGTGCATAACCAGGGTCAGTCAGTCTGGATGTGGAACGGTGCTGCCTTAAAAGATTATAATAATGTTTCTGAGAATATCAGGCCTCAGCTTCGTACGTCCAATTTTTTAACAGCTACGGTAGTCTGTCACACTTTAATAGCTTCTCATTTGAAACAGGTGCAGTAAGACCACATCTAAATGAATCTGAATCAGAATCAGAAATACTTTAATTATCCCAGAGGGAAATCATTTTCGTTACACACTCCAGATACACAAAAACAACATATAAATGTAGACAAAATTCCACACAAGAAATACATTTATACACAGAAAAAGATATATAGTGATAAATAATAATGTGCAAAAGAATACAAAAGAATGAATAAATGTCAATGATTTTGGGTCAGAATTACAGAGGGGGGGGGTCTGACTCTCGGAATGAGGTGTTGTAAAGATTGATGTCTGCTGCTGTAGGATGTGTCACAGTGTAAACCGTGAAATATCTTGTTAACACTATTGAAGTGTGTAACCCAATCTATGCAAAAGCTAAAACCCAAAACCCGACCATTTCTGAACCATTCAGATGTCAAAAAGTAACGAAACACCAATTTGAAAAATCAGTGCACAAAGTGTCGATCTCTGATCCTTTCAGTGACTTTGATCCAAGAAACGTGAGTCATTTTGGCAGATTGTGCGTTTAAAGAACAGAAGAACTCTTCCTGGTTTTACTCCAGGCTTATTGCAGCATTGCTGAGGCTCTGACGAGCAACAAATTGGGTGAAACGACACACTTCGCTTGATATGTTTCATCCACCATGAATTTTTAACCTCAGTGGAAATGCAAGAGATTTAGGGCTGAAATCATTCTTCTGCTCCTGGGAAAAAAAACTAACCCTGAGCCATTTAAGTTCTGGTTTCCCCTGGTTTATATGCCTCTGCCAGAGGGTCAGGTCTTTTATATTACCTCCATCATATGTACATATTTTGATACAATAATTTCACTTGTTGTACAATTAGTAATGTAACTTCACTTTTTTTTGGGTTGCTGTTTTTTACGTGTTCAGAGATCTTTCTTGGTTCGGAGACTGTTCATGATGAATTCAAATTCAATTTAAATGTTAACCTCAGTCATAAGATCTCATTTTTACAATTTAGAAAGTGTCCATTGTTGGTGTTAAATCTTGTTTCTCTTCCTGTGTGTCCGTTCAGATGCTCCCTGCTCAGAGCTGCAGGGCATGTTGTCTGGACTACTTCCTGATTCCCAAATTTCTGCATCCTCCATGAGGGATATCCACGGCTCTATGGGGGCAGCCCGGCTGGTGGCGAGCCGGTCGGGCTGGTTTCCCAACCCCACACAACCCATAGCTGGAGAAGAGTGGCTACAGGTATGCGACGCAGCATCCTCTTCTTTTTTTTCCTCAAGACCTGTGTGCTTTGTCTCTTCAAACAGAGAAACTGTAAATTCAGCTGAGTGGCTGGAGGAAGGGCTGTTAAGCTAGTTTGGTGTCTTTCACTCTTTTTAATATTACCAAATCATCACATCTAAAACGCACACGCAAAGCCATCTAAGGATAACAAGAACTATTATTTAAATTATATTAATGAACATGCAGCCACATTTTATCAGCCCATGAAAACCTATCAGTTGCTATCACTCAAACATGGCAAACATTTATATTTTAACCAAAGGATTTTCTTTCCACACCAAAGCCCAAATGCCTGTCTTACCTTGAGAACAGAATCAAGTTAACACTTCTGAGGGGGAATTCCTCTCCATGTTTACTGGTATAACCAGCAAATGGAAAATCAGCATCTTGAGTTTGAACTAACAATATTACCTTGGATTTTCTGTGTTTTTCAGGTGGATCTCGGCATGCCCAAAATGATTCGGGGAATTATTACCCAGGGTGCAAGAGGGCTGGAGGGCAGCACCAGCGCTGAGAACAGGGCATTCGTCAGAAAATACAAACTAGCATACAGCTTGACTGGCAAAGACTGGAAATACATCATTGACAGCAAGACTGGGTTTGCTAAGGTAAACAAAAACAAAACAACACCCACCATCTAAAACATTAGAAGCCCCCATTCTTTGATTGCCAATGGCATCTCTCCCACGTTTAGTTTATCATCACGGCCTCTCAACTTCGTCCTACTGCTGTATTCCTCTTAATTTTTGCTTTCTCTCCCTCTCTTTCTTGTCATTTTGTGAGCAAGAAAATGTTTCTGTAGCCTCTTCTCTGATAGTGATTCAATTGAATCACCTCACTCTCCTCACTCCTGTCTCTGCTTCCGTCTTAATCTTGTACTGTCTCTGTATTTCACTTGCTCATTCATCCTCTATTTGCCTCTCACGGGTGTTAATTAAAAATGTCTTTCCTGCATCACCACTCAATGCTTCTGGCAGCCTAACGCACCCTGAGACGGAGGACTTCGTTTTCCTGTCTGAGACTGTGTCTTAAAAAGCTTTAATAGTACCACTGAGTGCCTGGATTTTCTCCTGATGTTCAAATCCTGTTCTCTCTCATCTGCCTGTCTTTTTAAATGAGCGTCCTGGGAGCGTCCTCATCATAGGTTTTTAAAACTCTGAAAACATAGTAGACAGAGGACACAGTTCAGTTAAAGAAACCAAAAGCAGCCCGGTGCAGTCAGCTTTAAGCTCACTACAAAGTCTGTTCAGGCCAAAACACTGGAAAATCAAAGGCAACGTGCTTTTGAGCACACTATTATACCAAACAGGGAAACAACATTAGTTGTGTTTTATTACTTTAGACCCTTTCCATATTTGTTGTCAGTGAGGGTTGAATAAAAGTAATTCACTTTTTATATTGAAATCTACTAAACCTCTACTAAATCTACTAAACAGCTTCATTTTTCTGTTTTCACATAATTGACCCATTTTCTTTTATTCCCACAGAATTATTATATCAATGTACCCAGTTCTAATTCCTTTAATTCCTCTCAAACATCTTTGATCCAGTGTTACAGAGCTTTGTGGCTGCACAGATTAACCAAGCTCAATGTCCCAAATTCAAAAAGACAAAAAGTCAACTGTTCATCCCAACATTTCAAAATAAAAATTGAATGCTTCTTTAATCTCATTGTGCAGATTTTTGAAGGGAACAGCCACTATGATACTCCGGAGGTACGCAGGTTTGATGAGATCATTGCCCGCTACGTCAGGGTCTTCCCGGAGCGCTGGTCCCCCGCTGGGATCGGCATGAGGGTGGAGGTCCTCGGCTGCGACCTTCCCGGTAAGCGTGCACGCTCGCTAGCAGAGACACTTGTTAAAGGCACATGAACAAACGTCAAACAGTGTTGCTAACAAAACAGAACCAATGTGATTTGTTAAAGATCCTGAGTTCGTGTTTAACTTATAAATTCAGTAAACTTCCTCAGTGCTGGGGAGGCTGGTTTCCTGGTCAGTGGTGCTGGCTTTACAGTTACTTTACACTCCTTTAGCTCTGAATATTGCAGCCACAGGAGCATTAAAGTCAAAGATGGTTCTATTAGCAATGGGAAGGCATTTAAATGAATAGTTTAAACCACATTTTAAAATCATATTTACCATTAATGTTTTTGTTAAAGAATGATATACTTAACTAAAATCATAAGTTATATCATAAAAACGTGGTAGTGAGATGTAATCAGAACATATATATATATCAGATATTATGTCATATGATATAAACTATTTTGTCAGATTTTAGAAACATCCACTTCCTCAAAATGATGAATTATAGAGCAGAGTATTTTCCTGTTAGACGCAGGAAACTCTGATTCCAAAGTGCAGCAATGCAATGTAAATTTCATTTATATTAGTAAAAGTGTCCTCCTCAATTACCATTTGTCCAATTTCAGTTCTTGACACAGTAGCAGGTTTACATAACATGATTTGAGCCAAATCAGGCTGTCCTCCATCAAAATGATGTATTAGTACATATGCAAGCTGGAAAGAGTCAAACAAACACTGCTTATCACACTTTATCTTTACATTTCTATCTGCCATTGTGTTTGGCTTTGTGTCGGTTTGCACATACTTCTTGCACATATTCTTGTGTTCGAAGTTAATCTTGTTGCTCTATGGGAGGTTTTTCCAACGTGTCTGGACGGGGATTAAAATGTCTAGGTCATGGGACTTTTACTAATAGTGACCAGCTGTGTAATACGTTCTGCTCATAGACCTTCTAGCACATGCTGCTATTGTGTAGCAGTGGATTATCTGCAGTATATTGTGTGCTGAATTATAATATTTGTGATCAGCCTACAGTCGGTTATTAGGAAAATAAAAGACAGATTCTAGTCAACCAGCTGTGAGTTAAGATGTGGGACAGAGTGGTGATTTAGCATGTGGTGTGTATAGCCTAATAAGTGAAGGCTATTAATCTATAGGTAACTTTACTGAGCTTTGTGAGGAATATTCGTCCCCCTGCTTGTGTCGTGGGGACCTTGTTAGTTGTGGCAAGCCTTTTTTCCCCTCATTTGCACAATAACTTTTAAAAAAAAGTAAGCCATTGTTGCATTTATTACTTAGCTTGCGCTGTAAAAACGTGCTTTATAAATTCAACGGCTAATAAAGGGGAGACAAAGGATACCTTGTCAGAAAGGTAGTGTCACTTTAATGCCCTGAGCTGAATCATAAAATAAAACATAAAGTCACAGAAAGTGATCTGAATCCCATACTATGTAATTGCATTATATAATTGATGTCCCCATTAAAAATCTATTTCGCCGTTATCGTCTAAAAAAGGTGATGACTGGCCTTTTCGTTTCTCCAAGTTGTTAAAGTTAAAAGGAATGCAAATTCTGTGGAAGAACACAAGAGAGTAACAACAATAGTTCCTGTTGTTACACATGGTCCATCAGATCTGACAGTGGGTGATGTGTCTGTGGACCTGAGCTGGGCTCTTCACTACAGATGATTAATACATTTCTAAATGATTTGTTTAATTTAAAAAAGAAATATCAATATAAATGACCTTTTATATGATAATTATTGCAAGTATATTTTTTCATTATTTCGAATGAAAGTACTTGGACTCTTTTTAGTCCTCTGTTGTGAACATTTCCCCTGTTCTCATCAGTTCCACTGCCCTTCCAGGACACAGAATTTTTCATTAAAGCACATAAACGTGACCTCTTTCAAATATTGTTTTGTTCCAGTGGCAAGCTTTTTTTCATTTTGATTTTCAGCTTACTGCTCTTGGGGGGGCGGGAAGTGAGCACATACATATCCAAAAATCCTCAGGCCTAGTAAAGTCATTCTGAAACATTAATATTATCAAACTTACTGGCATATTTTCCCCAACATGTCCAGTCAAACGGACAGTTTGAGGGTAGTTCAGGGGCTGTGTTTGTTCTGTCCATACGCAGCATTTGGTAGTGGATCTAATGCACATCGTCTCACAGCATCACCACAGAGATCAACATCTCTGCTGTTGCCGTTCTGCCTACTGTCTGCTGGTCTGGATGCCCGGGTCTGCATGCCAGATGTTTGCCCTCTGGATGTAATCTGTGTTTCGGAGACGATAACATTTCTTTTCCACTTCACACGAGCACAACAACAACTGCTCCTGCTCTCGTCCTATAAATGCAGCCTCACCCTGAGATGAACGAGATGAACAACCTAAATTTCACTTGCCGTTTTCATTTTTTTCAATTCTAATTATCTAGATAATAAAATGTACACATGATCTCAAAAGTCAGATATGCATAATTTGTTTCCTAGCACTTTAAATTTAAACAGAAAAACATTTTTAAGAAATAAGAATACATTTTTCCCCCTTCTCCAGTGTGTGCCTGTTGTGGTTGATGTGTTGAGTTCTAGAGGGAAAATGTAGGCCGTTCATCAGCCTCAGTCCACTAAGCACAGCTCTGTACACTGAAGTCAGAACCACGAAAAATGCTGAGAGATTTTTCTTTAGTGGGTTTAAGTGAACTTTTCTCAAATCAAACATGTTCAGTCACAGATTGGAGCAAATCAGAAAAACTGTTAACTTCTCATCTACTCACAGGAACAAAGCATTGCATCCATGAGGTAACCTGTATTACACCAGTCCTTTGCCCTTTTTATACTTTTGAACTGTAAGACTCAGATTTTCAAAGTTCTAACCAAGATTTTGACTCCATGCTATTTCATGATTATTACTGAACATCTGATTATTTGAATTGCACGGTACAGAAAAGCCCTTAAGTCCAAATTAACTTCCAGCCTAATTACTGCTTAAATAAGAAACTATTCATACTATATTTACCTTTTAAATATAAAAACAAATGAGAAAGTTTTCCATTAATTCCTGTTTTTTCATATTCATAAATAAAGTTAACCGACCCCACATTTTCCTAATGTGAGTGAGACAGTTTCACTTCCAAAATCCAATTCAAAATTTCCAATACATGTTTTTTCAGGGCGTACAATAATATTGTTTACCATCTCACTGTTGTGCCAAACCTTCGGTGCAAACAGAAACAAAAGCCAGAATATTACTGCTCATTTCCAATCATTCACGCTAGCTGTGGAGGCAACGTGTAATTTAGGTCCTGTAACCTTAACTATTGGATGTGAACTGAGAGCTTACATGCTGCCAGTTCTGTTCATGTTTTAAATGAGTGAGCTATCAGAACATCTGCTACACTCATCTCTTTCACTCCGCACCTAGTTGTTGGCAGGCAGGCAGGCGTAGACGTACACACAAATACACACGCCACCTGTTTGGCACAAACGTGGGCTTTTGTTCTTAGCTGTGTACATACATGCTTAGTCTTTCAACTCCATTAAAATCTGCAGCGTTGAATGATTTTGAATGATTTTGAGCTTTTTGTTTGGCAACTCGAGAAAATTAACAGAGAGAAATTGACAAGTGCTTTATACACTGAATGTTGAAATGGCTGTTACCAGCTTTGTCTCTATTGGTCGGCTGCAGCTGCTGGTGCTGTTCTGTGGAGAATGGAAAACCAAGAGACTTCCAACCAGATCCAGGCAAAGAGTGCTGTCTTGCCACAATGATTTGCCAAAAACGGGGATGCATCTGTGGGCTGCATTAATCATGTGTCTGATGGCGTGTTCCAGATGCTTGTTAGTCCGCACTTATACAAGGAGAGCATTAGCTTTATGAAACTAAGTCTGTCACTGTGACCATTTGGCTAACCTCAGCAGATGTAGTCATGTACAACGCACCTTCTTTGGATTCTAGTCTTGTTGGTTAAACTTGTTCAGTCACATATTTGTGTGGTCCTTGCCAAGAATCAAAGTTGGACATCTAAAATCTTGGACTGGCTACATATGATATTGCTGTGTCTCATTATTAGTTTGACAAAAAGCTAGGGAAAACACTAATGTGCACCTGATGTAACTGAATTGGTCATCATCTATGTGAGCACTTATGGAAAAGATGAGTTTTTACTGCTGCTCGTTTGTTTTCTATTTAAGAAAAAGCAAGGGAAGGATGACATGTAAATCAATGCTCTGAGCAGGTGAATCAGAATTCATGGCAGTGCATAATGCCACCGGTTTCCTCATAGAATTTCCATCTACCGTAGATAATAAGTCTACTGGTTGTGCTATTCAACAGCAAATGAATGCAAAGGACCTTTTCTTTTCTGGATAGCTACACGAGGAAAACACACAAAGACACATTCTATCGATTGTTCAACAACATTTTGAGATGCTCTGCTGTTCCAAGTTTCCAACCATTAATTGTCTGTCTGTGAGTCTGTGTGTGTGTTAGTGTGTGTGTGAGCAAGAGAGTGTCAAGTCCAGCTCAACTACATGCATGTGATCAGTGGGATGTGTCCTTTGTTACACCCACTGTTATTTCTCCCCTGATCCTCTTTCCCCTGTTTTTACACACTCTTGATCTCACAGAGGAGTTAAAAGTGAGTCAGTCAGCATTTCATACTCGTACTTTACATACATGTCACAAACAATGACGCAGCATACGATTATGTCCTACCAGATATTGAGTGACTGATGTTTCATCAGGAAATCTGGAATTGGAAAAACATGCTCGATTCAGGGCCCTGGTTCAAATGTTTGTGGTTTCTTCTGGACTCGTTCGGTGTGGTGCCCAACCACCCTGTAGACACACACTCAAACACTTTGTTTATCCAATTCTCGCCACTTTGGCTCCTCTCACTTGTATTTATGGAATCTCTTCTTGCTCTTGTTCACACATTTAGTTGTTTCTGCAGATGGATCTTCCTTTTTTAAGAGGACTATATCAACTGTTTGTCTGAGCTTTTTCATCCAAAGTAAATCAAAGTTGATGCCAGCAGAACAATTCGCTCTCATCATCTAACTAA